CTTGTGCGGCAGGGTCCACAGTGCTGCAGGCATTTCATCCTCCACCTCATGTGACGGCGGAGACTTCATCTGCTCTGCCCTGTCAGAGCACTGAGTATTTACACTCTGAGGTCCTCCCGTTGGAGGAAGGCTGACCAGCTACTAGTGTGTTTTGGGTCCCCAAGGGCTGCGCTCCCTGCATCCAAACATACTATTAGCAACTGGATTGTTCAGATTATTGAGCGGTTTGCCTTCACCTGTGGCTGTGAGGGCTCATTCTACCAGAGGCATGGCAGCCTCTCGAGCCTCCTTTCCGGGGCCTCTTTGCAGGATGTTTGTGTAGCGGCTGGCTGGGCCACTCCGCACACATTCATTCAGTTTTACAGTCTTGACCTTCCTTCGGCACCTGGCACTCGTGCGCTCTCCTCTTAGTTGCACACTGGGGCAGGCGGGGTTTTCGGCACGGTTTAGTGGGTATCTCGTTCCCATAGTGTTGTAACCGACGCAGTTCGAGTTCCCTCGAAGGGGAACGTCTCGGGTTACGTATGTAACCCTGGTTCCCCGAGAAGGGGAACGAGACACTGCGTCGGCCCGCTGCACCTCTCTCCCCGCCTGAAGCGCCTGCTTCATAGTTTAAGCTTATGATGAGTGTGTACAGGTGTGCTTTATACTCCTCCAGTTATTCCATCACACCTTACCGTTCTAGCAACAAACCAATAGGATTGGAGTGATTTCATTCACGTTGAGACCTGCTACGCCTTGAGGCGTTCCCATAGTGTCGTAACCGTTGCAGTGTCTCGTTCCCCTTCTCGGGGAACCAGGGTTACATACGTAACCCGAGACGTTCCCTGGTTTGATAAAAATACTGATGTATTTTCACACAGTAATAGAAAAAGCAGTCGCGTGGTACCGGACACAAACAACGTGCCTAGCAGGGCATGCCTTCTTCTGCAGGAATGAAATGTTATCTTCTGTAACAGTTTCTTTAGGGATCCAAAATTGTGTTGGTAACACCAAGAAAATGAATAGAGGTAGAAAAAAGAAGAAAACAGTAGCTCGTCCAGTAAAGTCTGTATTCAGGAACAAAGAAAGTTCAGCGCTGAGAAAGTTGTCTGCTATCACCGCTTGCACAGTGTGGAAAGACTTTGAGTCTGTTTGTTTTACCTCCTTACAGTCCTGTGAAGAACTGGGAACGGCCCAGAAGGGTTTGTGGTGTTCGGTTTTATACCTCCGTTCACAAAATGGCTGTACTTCCTGGGATTACTCCGCCCCCTCAAAGCTTCAGCCAATACAAACCTTTGGTTTGGTTTTAAAAGTCCGAGTTCACAGGTAGGTGTGAATTAACTGACTCTGGCCGTCTGGGCTCTCCATTGTTCTCTGAACCCCTTTGTGTAGACAAGCCGCATGGCCAGGCTTTGGGGAATTCAACAAGCCGGGGTCAGACCTGTAGAATGTCACAAGGCCCATTCTTTGTTCTACCAGACTATGAGGCCCAACAACATTGACAAGGGAAACGCGTTACTTCTCTCGGTGATTATGCCCAGCTTCTAGCTAAAGCTATCAAACAACAGTTTTCATTTGCATTTCTAATGTTGGACTACCTTCATTACCTGAAGAAGAATTTATTGATGAAACATGCTCTGTAGAGCAGTTTGTCTGTTTGGGCTACTCTAGAAACATGGTGGCGCAACATGTTGCAACTTCCATGTAAGAGGACCTGAGGTGTATGTAAATGATTTAAATTCTAAGGTGATAAAAACATAATGGTTCATTATGTAAGGTCTTTCTAACCACTGAAAACATCAACAACAGTTTTGGACTTTACTTTTCTGTCAGTAGATCAGAAATATTTCACACACAACCTTTAAAGCCTTTAAAAGCTATAGCATACAGATCTTGTCAGTAAGTCATACAGCCTGTGTTCTTTGTACATGTTTTATGTGTTGGTTTCATGCAGCACCCACATTTGTCATTGGTATACTGTTTAAGTTCATGCAACTACTGCCAGTTATATATTTAGGAATTTCAACAACAGTAGACACTGGTTACTGTACGTTCATGATTACCTACACCCCTGTCGGTTTAATCTCAAAAGGATTTTTAAAGGGGAATTATGGAGTTTCCAGCAGCCACTAGCAGTGCGGTTCTAAGACTGCAACCAGGCATGTGCTTGTACACATGCTCGCTTGAACTCATGAGCGACCGCTTTTATACAGAAATCCTGCAATAAACACAGGAACACCAGCATGCAGGCTGTGGCTTTTCACACGTTCCCGTCTCAGAGGCAGATCAACACCGTTACTTCATTCAGCGCAGTTAGCCATATCGGTACAATCCTCCCGAAAAAAGGTGGTGACATCATAAACCCATTGTAGAGCTATAAATGGTGATGAAACAGCAACAAAAGTCAACTAATTTATTTAATCATTTTTCAAAAAAACTCTATATCAAAGAATAGAAAACAGAATAAGTAATTTCCCTAACATGTTGTTTTTTTACTTTTAATGGACTTTCTGTGAATATAATCCAATTATATTATTTCCATCCTGTACAGACGCCTTATTTTGAAAACCGGACGTTGTCACATGTGCATCCTCCTTGCGCTAAATTCATCCAGTCCGACCCAGTTTGATAAATAATGTTGTATGTGGTTCTCGTCTGGCGTCCAGCTTGCTCTGGGCCGCTTCACTTACTGTAAAGGCTTGAATACGTGTGCACTCCAAATGTAGGTGCGGCTAGCTTAATCACCTTCTCACAGACGAGTGACAGAAACAGGCCGTTAACTACTGATGTGCGATACCACTTAATTCCTGTCCAATCCTATACCAAGTAATACGGCTAATAAATAATAAAGTTGGTATTGCCGATACCGATACTTTTTACATATTTTATTTCTAGTTTCATGTGACCTCCCCCTCCCGTTTCTGTATTTATGAGGAAAAAAAGGAGTAGGCTGTAGCCTTACCAATTCAAAATAGCTGCATAAGACATCAAACTACTGTCATATTCTTTAATTATAGTCTAATAAAAATATTCTGCTCAGAACTGCCGCTTCATAACATCATCCTATTATTCTGACTTAATCTCAGATGTTTAGCAAAGTTTGCGGTGCCAAAGTATTTCACTGTCTGTGCTCACACATCACACACAGTGTCATTATTACCTTCACAGCTAAAATACAGCCAGATGTAACTGCTTTTACAGAGTCAGCCAGAGTCAGTGTTCAGTAGCGGGAAAGGGCTGCAGCGGCTCACTTCAAAGAAGCAGCTCCGTAACAGAGCCGTAGCGCAGCATGACTTTGACAGGCGGAAGGGAAAGTAGTTCCTATGAACCAAGTATAATTATACCATCCTGGTGACAGTAAGATACTTATAATAAAACACACACTCACTCCAAATGACTGAGTTTAGATATCGATCCTTTTATATGAGTATCGATCTTGGAGCAGGAAACGTTGGTATCAGAAATATCGATACTTTAGGATCGATCTGCACATTATTACCGTTAATGTTACCGTAGTTACCTCGAAAGAAAAGTGGTTCTATTTCGTATAGGCTTCGCCCTCTAAGGCGAGACCCGGCCTTCAGCTACCATTTTTCTTCAGCACTGAGCTGTCTAAAGAGCAGAAGATTTGTCTAAAGAGCAAAGATTTTCCAGCCAGAAAACAAGAAGAACAATGTCTACCAGCAAGCCGGCCAGAATGGGGCGAGTCTTGTTTTGGCTGAGTGATCCTTCTTGTGAGTGTGCGGCCGCTGCTTACGTGGCCCTGCCTTGTGCGCAGCTGATGTGGTTGCTGTCGCAACCCCGCCTGCGTCTGTACAGCTGCGGGGCCCCCCCATCCAGTTTCCCGACTTACGCATGGGTCGGCCCTCGGCCTCCCATGCCGCGCCATCGGTGCTCGCGCGCACGCCGACACCAATGCCGCGGTCGGTGGGTGACTGGGTGGCTCATTATGGCTCTGGGCAGGTGAGTTGCGCCAGGTGGTACCGTATGGGCCAGTGAGGCGTTGACTCATCCTGCTTTTCCCCTAACCCAATAGCGACAGCCTTAGAGGGCGATGCCTATACGAAACAGAACGGGGTTTACACAATGTAACCCGATTCTATGAGTATAGGCGCAGCCCTCCAAGTTGTAGGCCTCACTGCACCTTGGTTCTCAGTGCTGAAGAAAAGGCATTTGGGAGTCAAAGGCTGGGTCTCACCGTTGTGTATATATACAAGGTGTGGACGTGGGAGAAGCCCACGCTGTGGGTGGGCATAGACTAAAATTCTCAGTGCCGCGCAACGCTCAATGCTCATGACCCTTTGCTAAGCCCGCCCCCTAAGTTACTGTTGCTAAGTCCGACAAACTGTCGGCGCTGCCACTGTCTATTGCTGCACTCCCCGGACAAATACTGTCAAATTTGTTGGAAAAAGCGATCTCAGAAAGAAGCAAATAGTTTTGCAGTTACATTACACATTTGAAGGTTGTATTCAGGCTGTCAGACTGACTCAGACTGACTCAAACGGATGTGAAAAAAATGAAAGATAGAAGCCAAAGCCTACCAATCACACAGTAGGCCTACAAGTGAACCACCGCATCCCAAGACAACTGAGAGAAAAGACAACAATATTAAGAATCAACAGTGTTCATGTACAGCTGGGTAGACCTCTGTTCATTATTACAAGCTTATTTTAGGTTTTGGAAACAGAATAAATTGTACTTCTCCTTTCAGCCTCTCTGGGTTGTTGCTGTAACTATTACAAGATGCCCCTGGAACAGCGTTTGACCAGATCTTAAAAAAATACAGCCAAAAAAAGCTAGAAAACAATTCTTTTTGCATTAGAGTCAATGGAGCACAGCCATGAAAGTGTCGGACCTCAGAGCGAGTCCTATACTGCGCTGTGATTGGCCAGCTATGTATTTGGGGCGGGGCTTAGCAAAGGGTCAATATCATACTGCAACTGTCATTTGAATTATATTATTATATCTTTAAAATATTAATGAACCAACCCAATTTAAACATAAAGTCAAAGACATAGGTGGATCCAAAATTCCAAATTTACATGAGGCAACACTCTACAAATAAATACATTCAGCAGAAAACCACAAAGACAAAACATGAATACAAGCTGCTGTAACAAAGTTCTGCTCAACAAGGAGAAGAAGGTCAAATACCGAGACTTCAATGAGAAAACAAAAATGTCTACGAAATTGTACAGATGCTAAACTTTTCAATCCTGTGTGATTTCTGAAACTCATCCATGTTCCTAACTATTGAATATTGGCACCAAGGTCCAATCCAACATTCATGTATTGTATTTAAAAAGAGTTTGACATGAGTTTTTGTTCTGTTTGCTTTGCAAAAAAAACCCTTGTGCAAGAGAGCTCTCAGGAACCTTTAAGGGTATATTCAGCTTTGTAGCGCTATTGAATGTTGATGTTTATTGACTTGGTATGAAGCCAGATCAAACCTCTGAATTTAAATGGTTAACAGTGCTTTTCCTGCTGCTCACACACCAGTGGAGACAAGCTGCCACACAGGGTGATAGCAACAATCAGGGTCAGGAACCATCAGGAGCAGTTTACGCTCTTGGAAAACAGATTTTTAATCTCAATGAGATTTTTCTGGTTAAACAAAGGTAAAATAAAAAAATATTTTTTTAGCATCATTTACATAAATTATTTACATACTTTTGATCTTTTAGAGGAACATAAATTCTTTCAATTACAATTTACTACAAAGCCAGTCATTGTAAAATTCATAATAAATTATGCATTGAGAGAATTCCTGGGTCCCAACATGAATGGTAATTAGCTTTTCAGAATAATACATAAACTTTAAAATGAATGCATAATTCACAGATTCTGCTGTGAATATTAATAATAATCATAATAATACATTCAGCCCACATTCACCTCCAGTATAATATCCATGAGAAATCTGTGATCTGCTGCTACACGCCACTGTGCTCCTTTATCCAGGTGCGGTATTTGGTGACTCGGGTGTAGATTCCAGGTTTGTTCCTGCGAGCGCAGCCATCGCCCCAGCTCACCACGCCGGCCAGGAAGACCCGCCCTCCCGGTCCGGTGACGGACAACGGTCCGCCAGAGTCGCCCTAAGGAGACAGAGAGGAGAGTTCGTCAGGAAGGTTTAACTGTGCAGGAGATCCAAGACAGTGTTTTCAGTTGCATAAAGTGTTTCTTTACTTATCTACTTTATCTACTAGAGTTGTGTTACCTGGCAGGCGTCCACGCCTCCTTTAAGGACTCCGGCGCACAGCATCCTGTCAGTGACCTCATCGTTCATCAGACTCTTACACACCGTGCTGTTGATGATCCGAACCTCCGCCTTCTGCAGGACGGTCGCAGCAAGGCCTGACACACAAGATGAGCAGATCTTAAAGAACACGTTTATGGATCATTAATCTAAGGTTTCTAATCTTAATGAACACGTTTATGGATCATTAATCTAAGGTTTCTAATCTTAATGAACACGTTTATGGATCATTAATCTAAGGTTTCTAATCTTAATGAACACGTTTATGGATCATTAATCTAAGGTTTCTAATCTTAATGAACACGTTTATGGATCATTAATCTAAGGTTTCTAATCATAAAGAACACGTTTATGGATCATTAATCTAAGGTTTCTAATCATAAAGAACACGTTTATGGATCATTAATCTAAGGTTTCTAATCATAAAGAACACGTTTATGGATCATTAATCTAAGGTTTCTAATCTTAATGAACACGTTTATGGATCATTAATCTAAGGTTTCTAATCATAAAGAACACGTTTATGGATCATTAATCTAAGGTTTCTAATCTTAATGAACACGTTTATGGATCATTAATCTAAGGTTTCTAATCATAAAGAACACGTTTATGGATCATTAATCTAAGGTTTCTAATCATAATGAACACGTTTATGGATCATTAATCTAAGGTTTCTAATCATAAAGAACACGTTTATGGATCATTAATCTAAGGTTTCTAATCATAATGAACACGTTTATGGATCATTAATCTAAGGTTTCTAATCATAAAGAACACGTTTATGGATCATTAATCTAAGGTTTCTAATCTTAATGAACACGTTTATGGATCACTAATCTAAGGTTTCTAATCATAAAGAACACGTTTATGGATCATTAATCTAAGGTTTCTAATCATAAAGAACACGTTTATGGATCATTAATCTAAGGTTTCTAATCATAAAGAACACGTTTATGGATCATTAATCTAAGGTTTCTAATCTTAATGAAGACGTTTATGGATCATTAATCTAAGGTTTCTAATCTTAATGAAGACGTTTATGGATCATTAATCTAAGGTTTCTAATCATAAAGAACACGTTTATGGATCATTAATCTAAGGTTTCTAATCATAAAGAACACGTTTATGGATCATTAATCTAAGGTTTCTAATCTTAATGAACACGTTTATGGATCATTAATCTAAGGTTTCTAATCTTAATGAACACGTTTATGGATCATTAATCTAAGGTTTCTAATCTTAATGAACACGTTTATGGATCATTAATCTAAGGTTTCTAATCATAAAGAACACGTTTATGGATCATTAATCTAAGGTTTCTAATCATAAAGAACACGTTTATGGATCATTAATCTAAGGTTTCTAATCATAAAGAACACGTTTATGGATCATTAATCTAAAGTTTCTAATCATAAAGAACACGTTTATGGATCATTAAAAGCTTAAAATCTTAAAGAACATGTTTATGGATCATTAATCTAAGGTTTCTAATCTTAATGAACACGTTTATGGATCACTAATCTAAGGTTTCTAATCATAAAGAACACGTTTATGGATCATTAATCTAAGGTTTCTAATCTTAATGAACACGTTTATGGATCATTAATCTAAGGTTTCTAATCATAAAGAACACGTTTATGGATCATTAATCTAAGGTTTCTAATCTTAATGAACACGTTTATGGATCATTAATCTAAGGTTTCTAATCATAAAGAACACGTTTATGGATCATTAATCTAAGGTTTCTAATCTTAATGAACACGTTTATGGATCATTAATCTAAGGTTTCTAATCATAAAGAACACGTTTATGGATCATTAATCTAAGGTTTCTAATCATAATGAACACGTTTATGGATCATTAATCTAAGGTTTCTAATCATAAAGAACACGTTTATGGATCATTAATCTAAGGTTTCTAATCTTAATGAAGACGTTTATGGATCATTAATCTAAGGTTTCTAATCTTAATGAAGACGTTTATGGATCATTAATCTAAGGTTTCTAATCATAAAGAACACGTTTATGGATCATTAATCTAAGGTTTCTAATCATAAAGAACACGTTTATGGATCATTAATCTAAGGTTTCTAATCTTAATGAACACGTTTATGGATCATTAATCTAAGGTTTCTAATCATAAAGAACACGTTTATGGATCATTAATCTAAAGTTTCTAATCATAAAGAACACGTTTATGGATCATTAAAAGCTTAAAATCTTAAAGAACATGTTTATGGATCATTAATCTAAGGTTTCTAATCTTAATGAACATGTTTATGGATCATTAATCTAAGGTTTCTAATCATAAAGAACACGTTTATGGATCATTAATCTAAGGTTTCTAATCATAAAGAACACGTTTATGGATCATTAAAAGCTTAAAATCTTAAAGAACATGTTTATGGATCATTAATCTAAGGTTTCTAATCTTAATGAACACGTTTATGGATCATTAATCTAAGGTTTCTAATCATAAAGAACACGTTTATGGATCATTAATCTAAGGTTTCTAATCTTAATGAACACGTTTATGGATCATTAATCTAAAGTTTCTAATCATAAAGAACACGTTTATGGATCATTAAAAGCTTAAAATCTTAAAGAACATGTTTATGGATCATTAATCTAAGGTTTCTAATCTTAATGAACACGTTTATGGATCACTAATCTAAGGTTTCTAATCATAAAGAACACGTTTATGGATCATTAATCTAAGGTTTCTAATCTTAATGAACACGTTTATGGATCATTAATCTAAGGTTTCTAATCATAAAGAACACGTTTATGGATCATTAATCTAAGGTTTCTAATCTTAATGAACACGTTTATGGATCATTAAATGCTTAAAATCTTAAAGAACATGTTTATGGATCATTACTCTAAGGTTTCTAATGAAAATGTTTATGGATCATTAATCTGAGGTTTGTAATCTTAAAAGAACATGTTTATGGAGGATTAATCTAACGTTTAAAACCTTCAAGAATGTTTTTATGGATGATTAATCTAAGGTTTAACATGTTAAAGAACACGTTTATGGATCATTAATCTAAGGTTTCTAATCATAAAGAACACGTTTATGGATCATTAATCTAAGGTTTCTAATCTTAATGAACACGTTTATGGATCATTAATCTAAGGTTTCTAATCTTAATGAACACGTTTATGGATCATTAATCTAAGGTTTCTAATCATAAAGAACACGTTTATGGATCATTAATCTAAGGTTTCTAATCTTAATGAACACGTTTATGGATCATTAATCTAAGGTTTCTAATCATAAAGAACACGTTTATGGATCATTAATCTAAGGTTTCTAATCTTAATGAACACGTTTATGGATCATTAATCTAAGGTTTCTAATCATAAAGAACACGTTTATGGATCATTAATCTAAGGTTTCTAATCTTAATGAACATGTTTATGGATCATTAATCTAAGGTTTCTAATCATAAAGAACACGTTTATGGATCATTAATCTAAGGTTTCTAATCATAAAGAACACGTTTATGGATCATTAATCTAAGGTTTCTAATCATAAAGAACACGTTTATGGATCATTAATCTAAGGTTTCTAATCTTAATGAACACGTTTATGGATCATTAATCTAAGGTTTCTAATCATAAAGAACACGTTTATGGATCATTAATCTAAGGTTTCTAATCTTAATGAACACGTTTATGGATCATTAATCTAAGGTTTCTAATCATAAAGAACACGTTTATGGATCATTAATCTAAGGTTTCTAATCTTAATGAACACGTTTATGGATCATTAATCTAAGGTTTCTAATCATAAAGAACACGTTTATGGATCATTAATCTAAGGTTTCTAATCTTAATGAACACGTTTATGGATCATTAATCTAAGGTTTCTAATCATAAAGAACACGTTTATGGATCATTAATCTAAGGTTTCTAATCATAAAGAACACGTTTATGGATCATTAATCTAAAGTTTCTAATCATAAAGAACACGTTTATGGATCATTAAAAGCTTAAAATCTTAAAGAACATGTTTATGGATCATTAATCTAAGGTTTCTAATCTTAATGAACATGTTTATGGATCATTAATCTAAGGTTTCTAATCATAAAGAACACGTTTATGGATCATTAATCTAAGGTTTCTAATCATAAAGAACACGTTTATGGATCATTAAAAGCTTAAAATCTTAAAGAACATGTTTATGGATCATTAATCTAAGGTTTCTAATCTTAATGAACACGTTTATGGATCATTAATCTAAGGTTTCTAATCATAAAGAACACGTTTATGGATCATTAATCTAAGGTTTCTAATCTTAATGAACACGTTTATGGATCATTAATCTAAAGTTTCTAATCATAAAGAACACGTTTATGGATCATTAAAAGCTTAAAATCTTAAAGAACATGTTTATGGATCATTAATCTAAGGTTTCTAATCTTAATGAACACGTTTATGGATCATTAATCTAAGGTTTCTAATCATAAAGAACACGTTTATGGATCATTAATCTAAGGTTTCTAATCTTAATGAACACGTTTATGGATCATTAATCTAAGGTTTCTAATCATAAAGAACACGTTTATGGATCATTAATCTAAGGTTTCTAATCTTAATGAACACGTTTATGGATCATTAAATGCTTAAAATCTTAAAGAACATGTTTATGGATCATTAATCTAAGGTTTCTAATCTTAATGAACATGTTTATGGATCATTAATCTAAGGTTTCTAATCATAAAGAACACGTTTATGGATCATTAATCTAAGGTTTCTAATCATAAAGAACACGTTTATGGATCATTAAAAGCTTAAAATCTTAAAGAACATGTTTATGGATCATTAATCTAAGGTTTCTAATCTTAATGAACACGTTTATGGATCATTAATCTAAGGTTTCTAATCATAAAGAACACGTTTATGGATCATTAATCTAAGGTTTCTAATCTTAATGAACACGTTTATGGATCATTAATCTAAAGTTTCTAATCATAAAGAACACGTTTATGGATCATTAAAAGCTTAAAATCTTAAAGAACATGTTTATGGATCATTAATCTAAGGTTTCTAATCTTAATGAACACGTTTATGGATCACTAATCTAAGGTTTCTAATCATAAAGAACACGTTTATGGATCATTAATCTAAGGTTTCTAATCTTAATGAACACGTTTATGGATCATTAATCTAAGGTTTCTAATCATAAAGAACACGTTTATGGATCATTAATCTAAGGTTTCTAATCTTAATGAACACGTTTATGGATCATTAAATGCTTAAAATCTTAAAGAACATGTTTATGGATCATTACTCTAAGGTTTCTAATGAAAATGTTTATGGATCATTAATCTGAGGTTTGTAATCTTAAAAGAACATGTTTATGGAGGATTAATCTAACGTTTAAAACCTTCAAGAATGTTTTTATGGATGATTAATCTAAGGTTTAACATGTTAAAGAACACGTTTATGGATCATTAATCTAAGGTTTCTAATCATAAAGAACACGTTTATGGATCATTAATCTAAGGTTTCTAATCTTAATGAACACGTTTATGGATCATTAATCTAAGGTTTCTAATCTTAATGAACACGTTTATGGATCATTAATCTAAGGTTTCTAATCATAAAGAACACGTTTATGGATCATTAATCTAAGGTTTCTAATCTTAATGAACACGTTTATGGATCATTAATCTAAGGTTTCTAATCATAAAGAACACGTTTATGGATCATTAATCTAAGGTTTCTAATCTTAATGAACACGTTTATGGATCATTAATCTAAGGTTTCTAATCATAAAGAACACGTTTATGGATCATTAATCTAAGGTTTCTAATCTTAATGAACATGTTTATGGATCATTAATCTAAGGTTTCTAATCATAAAGAACACGTTTATGGATCATTAATCTAAGGTTTCTAATCATAAAGAACACGTTTATGGATCATTAATCTAAGGTTTCTAATCATAAAGAACACGTTTATGGATCATTAATCTAAGGTTTCTAATCTTAATGAACACGTTTATGGATCATTAATCTAAGGTTTCTAATCATAAAGAACACGTTTATGGATCATTAATCTAAGGTTTCTAATCTTAATGAACACGTTTATGGATCATTAATCTAAGGTTTCTAATCATAAAGAACACGTTTATGGATCATTAATCTAAGGTTTCTAATCTTAATGAACACGTTTATGGATCATTAATCTAAGGTTTCTAATCATAAAGAACACGTTTATGGATCATTAATCTAAGGTTTCTAATCTTAATGAACACGTTTATGGATCATTAATCTAAGGTTTCTAATCATAAAGAACACGTTTATGGATCATTAATCTAAGGTTTCTAATCATAAAGAACACGTTTATGGATCATTAATCTAAAGTTTCTAATCATAAAGAACACGTTTATGGATCATTAAAAGCTTAAAATCTTAAAGAACATGTTTATGGATCATTAATCTAAGGTTTCTAATCTTAAAGAACATGTTTATGGATCATTAATCTAAGGTTTCTAATCTTAATGAACACGTTTATGGATCATTAATCTAAGGTTTCTAATCATAAAGAACACGTTTATGGATCATTAATCTAAGGTTTCTAATCTTAATGAACACGTTTATGGATCATTAATCTAAAGTTTCTAATCATAAAGAACACGTTTATGGATCATTAAAAGCTTAAAATCTTAAAGAACATGTTTATGGATCATTAATCTAAGGTTTCTAATCTTAATGAACACGTTTATGGATCATTAATCTAAGGTTTCTAATCATAAAGAACACGTTTATGGATCATTAATCTAAGGTTTCTAATCTTAATGAACACGTTTATGGATCATTAATCTAAGGTTTCTAATCATAAAGAACACGTTTATGGATCATTAATCTAAGGTTTCTAATCTTAATGAACACGTTTATGGATCATTAAATGCTTAAAATCTTAAAGAACATGTTTATGGATCATTACTCTAAGGTTTCTAATGAAAATGTTTATGGATCATTAATCTGAGGTTTGTAATCTTAAAAGAACATGTTTATGGAGGATTAATCTAACGTTTAAAACCTTCAAGAATGTTTTTATGGATGATTAATCTAAGGTTTAACATGTTAAAGAACATGTTTATGGATGACTAATATCAGGTTTAAAATCTAAGTTATCTCTGAGCGCTTTTCATAAAAGAGCAGGTCTAGACCGTACTCTACGATGATATTCACTCAAACCCAACAGTTCCCCCCAAGAGCAGCACTAGGCAAGGAAAAACTTCCTTTTAAGAGGCAGAAACCTCGAGCAGAACCATGGCTCAGGGTGGGCGGCCATGTTCTCTTACCTCCTTCTCTGGTGGCCCCCCAGCCAGTGAGCCACGCCTCTTGGCCTGCTGGGAAGTCGTAGGTGGGGGAGGGCAGACAGATGGGCCAGATGTTCTGGTTGAGGGTGACGTCGGTGTCCAGCTCCATCAGAGCGATGTCGTTGTCATAGGTCATGGGGTTGTAGTCCTGGTGAGCAAAGATCCTTCTCACATTCCTCCTCACCGTCCACTCGTTGGTCAGACTCTGCACAAGCAGACCCAGCAAGGCCTCCCATTGGTCTGCCTGGGAGTACCTGCATCAACACACAAGCAAGAGGTCAGAGGTCACGTCTGGAATAAGAAAAAGAGTATTACAGCAGTCCTGATTAAAATACGTACAAGTCACTTTAAAGGTTTCAGTGTTCAAACAATGTCCGCCTGCAGAGCTGAACGGCCTAGGGGGAGGGCAGCTGAATTGAACAGTATGAATGATCAGTTACTGCAGCCATCTTGTTTTGGATACGCACTGGATCCCTTGACGGATCTTATTCACAGGACATCCACAGGACACATGCCATGCGGTGCATGGTGAAAATGCCACAGCAAGTTGACCGACTGTTTGCAGTTTGTGAATTTGCATAAACACAACTCGCTCTCCAGTGCACCAGGCTCGTGAAAGTCAAACTGTAAATTTCTGCAGCGCTGATCAAATATGAATCAACATTCTGTTCCTGTTGTTTATTTGTCACCTCAAATGTTTTCAGAAACATATTTTAGTGTTCAATTTAGCTCTGATATGTTGAAAATGGATAATCCACAGCTAAGCACTAACTCACAGTGTTCATTGGTCCAGTGAATCCAGATACGTCCTCACCAGATTCTGTGTGTTTCCAGTAACCAGAGCACGGAGCAAAGCCTTCCAAGTGCCCCTTTATATCAAGTGCCTCACAAATAAACAGCACAAAAATAATGGAAGTGTCACTGAAATTATCTACATCTACTGCAAATATAAGATTTTGTCACGTTGCCATCTAGCTGTAGAGAATGTAAGAGTATGTGTATTGCTTTTCTATGTTTTATTAAACCTTTATTTGACCAGGTTTGTTCCGGTGAGATCCACCATCTCTTTTACAAAACAATATTCATGGAGGTGTTTTTAAATGACTTTCAGATGTATCACCTTATAGATTGTGTAAAATGGCCTTTACTCTGACCATCATTATTACAGCCAACATCCCTGTTTCACCTCAGCAGTACTGTCAAATAAAGTTTCACAATTCAACTTGCAATTCAAAAATAAGTGTGATGAAAGCTTCTGTATAAATAATGACCGTGAACAGAACTGCTATAGAAACACATGTTGTCCGTTACTCCGTACCTTCAAGTAAAGCAGGTTATTGTATTGATCACCAGGGCCCAGTTGTTCAAAAAGTGTAATCTGGATCAGAATGATCCGGATTAGGAAATCCCATGTTTTGCTATCCAGGATCACGTAACCCCTCTTACTTTTGTGCCGGTTTTTCAAACCAACACTCGTCTGGATAACCCTGATCCAGATACAACTTTTCAGGATTACCAAATCTGGATATCCAGTGCTCTAAATGGGACTACATGTCACATCGCTGTTGATTATATAATGGCCAACAGCTAGAACAGGTGATCTGAGCAGATTTCAGAATCCTATTTTTTTGAACAACCCATTTTCCAGATTTGATCCAATCCGACAGCCGAAATCCGATCAGATTACTTTTGAACTACTGGGCCCTGGAGTTGTGATGATATGATCATGTGATCACAGGTTTTGAAACTTTTTAGCCTGATATAATGTTTAACAGGGGAAAGCACATCACCCTTTTATTATAGGAAAGATGTGAATCTGATCTGTAACGACAGGACTTTAAAGAGCTGGTTCAATCTGTGGTCTGCTGGATTTCTGTGTTTGGAGCTCCTACTTGTTTGGCCCGTTGTCCTGGACGCAGTGTGCCGCCGTCAGCAGCCAGCGGTTGCTCAGCACCGACGCTCCGCACACGTGACCTATTCCCCTGATATGGAGGCTGACCTGCCAAGGCCACTCCCCCTCTTCAGAGGCCTGACCCCCCACCACACGAGAGCTCAGGTACGGCCGCGTCCCGCACTCTGAAATACAAAGACAAATACTCTGTACAGTAAAACATTAATGACCCCTGCCGTCACGCTGTAGTCTGCTGCGTGTGTGTCATACGCACGGCAGTCGCTTTCATCAGAGCCGTCCTCGCAGTCCTGCTCGCCGTCACACTCCGGGTTCAGCTTACTGATGCAGTGTCCGCTCCTGCAGCGGAAGGTGAACTCTGAACACTGCTGCAACACCAGAGCTGAAGGACAGGAGGCACGAGGATCAGGACTGAAACTACTGACAAGCTGACACAGTCCAGGTGTTGTGATGGGAAGTCAAAAGAAGTATTTTATATTATATATATTTTGAACATTATAGCAGCAAATGACTGTTTGCTTTGTAAAGACGTGGTGGGGTGGTGACGCCTGAGCAGAGAATGACTCACTGTGTGTTGTTATTAGAACTTCTCTGTCTGGTTTAGCCGGTCGGCATGTTGGAGCATGCGATAATAATAATAATAATCCTTATTTGTAGAGCACTTTTCAAAAATAAGTTACAAAGTGCTTTAACAAGTGTAAAGAATAATACAAAAAAACAAAAAAAAAAACAAGATAAGAGCATGAAAAATTAATATAAAATTAGTAAAATACAATAAAATAAAAGGGATAAAATAAAGTCAAATAAGATCGGGAAAGGCTCTCCTATAAAAGTATGTTTTAAGAAGGGACTTAAAAGAGTTCACTGACTCAGCCGACCTGATTTCCTCGGGCAGGCTGTTCCAGAGCCTCGGGGCCCTGACAGCAAACGCTCTGTCCCCTTTAGTTTTCAGTCGAGACTCTGGAACAGACAACAGACCTCTGCCCGAGGATCTCAAGGTACGTGCTGGTGCGTATGGGACTAAAAGGTCAGAAATATAACAAGGCGAGAGGCCATGAAGAGCTTTAAAAGTGATCAATAGAATTTTAAAGTCAATTCTAAAACATACTGGGAGCCAGTGTAATGAAGCTAAAATAGGAGAAATGTGGTCATATTTCTTTGTTCTGGTTAAAAGCCTGGCAGCTGAGTTCTGGACAGTCTGGAGTCGATCAATAGATTTTGGGTTAAACAGGTGAAAAGGCTGTTGCAATAATCCAGGCGTGATGAGATGAAGGCGTGTAAAATGGTCTCGGTGTCCTTAAAAGTTAACATAGATCGAATTTTTGCTATATTTCTAAGTTGATAAAAACATAATTGAACAAGCTTTGTGGTGTGCTGCTCGAAATTTAAATTACTATCAAACCAAACACCAAGGTTCTTTGCCACAGGCTTAATGTGATTTACTAGGGAACCAGCAGATGGCAGTATTTGAATATACTGCCATCTGCTGAGACCCGATGACCAGGATTTCTGTTTTGTCTGAGTTCAGCTGGAGGAAATTATTTGACATCCATTTTTTAACTTCACAAAGGCAGTTGTTAAGTGAACTCAGCATTCCAGGGTCTGTGGATCTGACGGGCAAGTATATTTGTGTGTCATCAGCATAAATATGAAAAGAAATGCCATGTTTATGGATAATATGTCCAAGGGGAAGCAGATACAAGGAAAACAAAATGGGTCCTAAGACCGACCCCTGAGGCACACCATATTTAACTGGACAGAATGAGGAGACATAGTTGTTTACAGACACGCAAAACTTCCTATTTGACAGGTAGGATGAAAACCATTCTAGGGCAGTACCAGAGATCCCCACCCAGTGCCTCAGTCTGTCTAACATGATGTTGTGATCAATGGTGTCAAAAGCAGCGCTAAGGTCCAGGAGTACCAGGACTGAGCACATGCCTTCATCAGCAGACATTAAAAGGTCATTGGTGACTTTAAGCAGGGCAGTCTCAGTGCTGTGGTACTTCCTGAAACCAGACTGAAACTTTTCAAATATTTTGTTATTTTCCAGTACAGTGAGCAGCTGTTTGGACACAATTCTTTCTAGAATCTTTGCAATAAAAGGCAGTTTTGAAATTGGTCTAAAATTATGTGGGAGGGAGGGATCTAAACCAGGTTTCCCTCGATCCCCTCCCTGTCAGCCTGTTTGTTTTCTCATCGAACGCGGTGGACTGCTAATCTGGCGTGCCCGGCCGGTGGGCCGAGGCACCTAGGGGCCAATATAATTTAAATGATTTATTTATTAAATAAACTGATTCAGTGGTCACTGATAATAATATAATCGTAACGCTATCATGAAGTGAGGCATGCTGCTGTGACTGGCCTAGGTCCATCTGACTATGATAATATTATTAAGATTATTAGGCCCTTTGTAACGGGTTCCATTGGTAAAGAGGGGGGTGTATGGCCAACAAAGTGTCCAATGTTTATTCTCTTCCGCTCCATCCGTTCATTCAATAAACAGCTCTTTGCTCGTTCCCAGTTTGTTATTGCTTTTCAGCTTTGACAGGGAAATCCAACAATTCTGGACCCAATAGTAATAATTTGAAATGATACTGGGACTTCAAGCAGAGATGTTTTCCTTTGACAAACACTTGTACTTGAGTATGAGTTGTGTTCTCAGTGGCCTCCTCTGATCACCAGGGAGTCAGTAAACTGGAATGAGTACACTGATCCGCTTACTTCAGTGGTTTGGAGAAATATAACAGTAGGTACACATATCATATTATGCAAGGACGGTCTACTGGTGAGGGGGTCTGACTGATTGGGGTGGGCTGATTCTTTGTCCCAGTCCAGCCCTGCTAACAGAGATGGTGAGTTTTATATTGTTTCTACTCAGTCTGTTTACAATGACCTGCGAGGTTAAACAACTTTTTTCTCAATGTAGTCTGGTGGGCTGCAGCGCCCATTTGTTTTGGTCTGAGATGCTGGTGCTCTGGTGGGACATTTAGCGGCAGTGAACGTGGCTGACAGCTCCATTAAAGGGTCAATCTTTATTCTGCTTCCTCAGCCTGTGAAAACAAATGTCTAACAGTCTGGGGGCGTGGAGTTTGAAAGATGTGGCTGTTTACGAGGCAGGGAGGCTCTTTAGAAGGACACTATCCACTTGCATTATGGGAAATGTAGGATCCAGTGTTTTTAGAGTGGTAACCACCAGTCTACCCCTAACCCATACAAAGGTCTGTAAGTCAGGAAAGTTACAGGACATTTTTTAACAAATACAGCAGCTTTATGAAAATGCACTGCAGAACCTCGAGCTCTAGTGGGCCACAAGTTCAGTTTTTCATTTCAGACCCTGTACAATATTCCTACACCGCTTAAAAGGATCCTGACAGGTCCAGGTATCTAACATCAGAATGTGGAAAATATATCTAAAGTTAAGATTTGTTAATAAGTTTAAGAAGCTTCTTTGAACTTTAAATCAGTGTCAGTGACATGCAAAAATAAAAATATCTAATTTATAAGCGTGCTTCTAGCATTTCTGTTGATCCTTGATCCTTACATTTTTGACATTTAGACTCATCCGATCCGTCTGAACAGTCGTCTTTTCCGTCACACTTCAGGTTCTCTGGGATGCAGCGGTTGTTTCTGCAGGAAAACTCTCCTGCTTTGCATTTTACTACAAAAGAAAAAGAAATATCTGAGATATTCCCCCATGGAACGGTTTCCTGCTGTACACTCTTCCTCTACACTTCAGTTTAACCCACCACAGCTCTCCTCGTCAGTGTTGTCTCCACAGTCGTCAAAACCGTCGCATTCCCAGAACTTCGGCTTACACCGGCCATTTTTACACTTCATCTGAGACCCCTCGCACGCTGAGCAGAGACACAAAGACAAAACAACAACCTGTCAGTCCGTTTCTCAGTCCTGTCTGACTTCCTGTCTGAGGCTCTCAGCTGCGAGCCCATTGGTTCCTCCTGAAGACGTAAACCTTTAAACAGTCATTTCCTCAAACAGCTGCTTGCTGTAGTTTCCATCAGACACACAGGAGGAAATAGTGCATTTGTTGGGGACTATTTTCAGCAGCGGATGGATCTACATGTGGTGCTCTAGTGAGTATTTCCAGCAGAAAAATGTCAGATGTGGTAAAAAGTTAGGATGAACTAAATTAGATTTTGTCAAATTACTGTATCTCCTGTTACACTTCAGGAAGATGTGCGCCCACAGTCAGCGGGTTGGACTCACTGCAGTTGTTCTCGTCACTGCCGTCTCCACAGTCGTTCCAGCCGTCACACTGCAGAGTCTTGTTGATGCACAGGTTGTTGGTGCACTGGAACCTTCCGGGACAAGCTGATCAAGGACATCAAACAGACACTGAACACAAACTGTCAGGAAGAAGAGTATCAGTCTAAAAACTGGCAGTATGCCTCAGGCAGAGGCTAGAATTTGTAGCTGGGTTAAAACATACATTATTCTGGTGGTCTTTTTAACTCGACTAAAATGAATCAGTCTTACGGTTAGTTGGGACAAAGGCTTGGTACTCTGCGGTGAAACCCTGGTCAACGTAGGACGAGTCCGAGTTAAATGTGATGGTCATCATGTTGCTTTGGCTGGTGACCACGGTCCTTTCTTGCTTACTGCCACACAGTCTACAACACAGAGACACAAAGAAGACACTTCCTGACTATCTGAGGACATCTTGGTGGGTGGACACAAAAAGGTTAATGTACATGTTGAACAACCAGGTGTTGCTGCTGTCCAGATAGATTCTATTGGTTGATCTGGTAAATAAACTTGAGAGCATCATTGTGAAGGAATTATGACACAGGTTTCCCCAGGTGATGTTAGGGTCAACTGCTGAACTAAAGTCCAATGGTGACAGCCGGTGACTCCCCACATCAGTAGGTCAGACTCTGTCTCTCCTCTCTGACTGATGCCGCTGCCTGGATAAGAATGAGGTAACCCCAGGTTAAGATTATCTTTGCTCTGTTTCATTACAGATAGGCTGACTGTCTGACACTTGAATGACACAACGTGACTTTAGGCTAACATGGGTAAGCAAAGTGTGAATCTCTGTAGGGTAGGAAGGGTAAATATCCCCAGACCCAGTAAAGTTTCTGGCAGATTCTACATTGTACCTTTACGCTGTAAGCTGTTACCATTCTCCCCAGCTGGGCTCAATAAAAAAAGCTGTGCAGGTCTTCAAGAGTCTCTGAGAACTTCATAACACCTGACACCTGGCTCCCTTTGATTCCATACCAATCATCATTAGGAACCAGAGTTGTGAACATGTCTCAAGTCATCGTTCAAAGTTCCAATCTAAAATCAAAGACCTGGGTTAAATAAGATCTTCATTTATTAATAATTTCCTAAAAATAATTACTTCTGAAGCACACAAACCCTCAGATGGCTGACCTTTGACCATTGACGTCAACGTAATCGTTGCGACACTGGCTACTGTATTTGCCCAAGAAGAACTTGTAGAACTGAACTTTCACAAACTTGTCCTGTGTGGCCTGAAAAAGAAAGATAAAGGAGAAAAGACAATTATAAAACTGTAAATGCATTATTAAAGACCTACATGTATGTAAGTGTTCGTGAATCACATTTTCAATATCCGAATGATTGCCAGGACATTTGTACAGACTTCATGTTCCGCTCAGGATGAACTGTTATAACTTGGTGGTGATCGTCTGACTTCTCTTCTGGCGCCATCATCAGGTCAACAAAACATTGGTTTATGGCTTGCAGAAATAATGACATTAGCGTTTGAGATGACTACGGCTGACTTTTGCCGACTTGATAGTCAAACGTGAGCCACAGGCGACTGCAGGTGTAAAAACAGTGCCGTCAAGTCGGACACATTCTACCTGCGTGAGCTTACTGTCAGCTGAGATCAGTCAAAAGGAGGTTCCAACTTTGTGCAGATGGAGCAAGGCGCCTGCAGCCGGTTTGCTCCCACGAGGTTTTGATGTCATGTGACATGGTGGCTTTTTGCAGCGCCAGCGAAAGTCGGACACAATTTCTAACCAGTATGCCTTATTTTAAGTCCAGCATGCATCACGTTAATTCAGCGCAGCTCAGCACCACATGCAGTCAAACTCGCCTATTCCTGTCAGCCTCAGCTGTGTAGTTTACTGCTAATTAGCTAATATTAGCATGCTAACATGCTAAAGTCAGAGGGTGGCCATGGGAAACTACGCATGCTGTTAACATGTCATTGTGAGCATGTTTGCTAATGTTAGCATATAGCGCAAAGCCTCAGAGCTGCTGCAGACTCTAATGCAGCTGTAGTTTGTATTTTGGCCCCACCTGGGGGCAGCAGAACAATCTGTTGACACAAGACTGATATATAATTAGCTTATAGCTTAATAATATATCAGTATAGCTTCCGAGGTATTCCACTCTAGAAAGTGGAACATCTAGCTGCTAGATGTTCCACTTTCTTCACCAGCTAGTCTCTGACTGTGCTGAGCAGGTGTACAGCAGCATTGCTGTGATATTCTACAATTCTAATATAATTCTACAATATTAGTGTTATTAAAAAGAAAATATTTTAAAGTTGCTATCAAAGTTTATGTCTGTCAGGAAGTTTTCCGTTCCTTTAAGGGTTGTAGGAACTACTACTACTACTACTACTACTACTACTACTACTACTACTACTACATACCATGAAACTGACATTTTCAGACAGTTATCATACCGTGATAACCTCTCAGTGCTGCAGCCTGAAGCCAGTGAAACGACAACAGCCAGACTTACCTCGATGTTCCAGACGCATGTGGTTTGTGGAGGATAGTTGGAAGGGAAGAAAGGTGAGGAGAAGAAGCCTTTGTCTCCGGTCAGCGTACCTCCACACTCTGAACAACAAGACAGACCGTTCACATGTTAGACATTTGTTAGACATTTAGGAGATGTTCTCACCACAGAGGCGTCAGTACAATCAACTTCCTGACTGATATCAGAGAGGTGAAACTGTGAGCGTGAAGACGGAGAATTAACCTCAGAAGAAACAAAGGTTAAGAAAAAGCCTGCAAAATCTTAACATGTCACCATTTAAAAATTCTTACTTTCATGTGTTTTATCAAAACAGTGAACACATTTGCAAGTGTTTCAAATCAACATCGAATGATTTCAAGATCCTGAAATCACCAAGAGAGTTTTTGTTGATTCTACTGAACTGATCTGCGTTATCATCCCCCATTTCAAGAAACTATATATTTGCCTGGAAAATTTCTGAAACAATAGAAATAATTTAGTATTTTCACTTTTATTTTCATTGATTAATCTGCAGGTTTTTGATTAGTTGATTCATCATTTGGTCTGTAAAATGTACATAAAAATGAATAAAACCCAAAGCGACTACTTCAAATGATTTGTTTTGTCTAAAACCTGAAGATATTGACTGTCACAAAAGAGAAAAGCAGCAAATGTCTTGAAACAAGATTTGGATCAGATTATAGATTAGATCATATTAGACCGATCACCCCACCAGCACCGGGACACGTGACTTCCTGTCGTACTTTGTGCAGTCTGAGGGATCTGGGAGTAGTTGGCCATGAAGCCGGGGAAGTTCTTCTCCTCACTGGTGACCAGAATCAGCAACATGACATTTCCAGAGGACACGAAGGACAGCGAGTCACGAGGGTATCCACACTGCCTGAAGGGGGACCACAGAAACCGTTAGTACCCGGTTTCTAGAAAACTATAAAGATATAGTTTCCCTTGATGGCATCGCCCTGGCCTCCAGCACCACTGTGAGGAATCTTGGAGTTATCTTTGATCAGGACATGTTGTTTAAGTCTCACATTAAGCAAATTTCAAGGACCGCCTTTTTTCACCTACGTAATATTGCAAAAATCAGGAACATCCTGTCTAAAAATGCTGCAGAAAAACTAGTCCATGCATTTGTTACTTCTAGGCTGGATTACTGCAATTCCTTATTATCAGGCTGCTCGAAAAAGTCCATTAAGACTCTTCAGCTGATCCAGAATGCTGCAGCACGTGTTCTGACAGGAACCAGGAAAAGAGATCACATTTCTCCTGTTTTAGCTTCTTTGCATTGGCTTCCAGTAAAATCCAGAATAGAATTTAAAATCATTCTTCTTACCTACAAAGCTCTTAATGGTCAGGCACCATCTTATCTTAAAGAGCTCATAGTACCTTACTACCCCACCAGAGCACTGCGCTCCCAGAATGCAGGGTTACTTGTGGTTCCTAGAGTCTCCAAAAGTAGACTAGGAGCCAGAGCGTTCAGCTATCAAGCTCCTCTCCTGTGGAACCAGGTTCCAGTTTGGGTTCAGGAGGCAGACACCATCTCCACATTTAAGAGTAGGCTTAAGACTTTCCTCTTTGATAAAGCTTATAGTTAGGGCTGGCTCAGGTGAGTCCTGAACCATCCCTTAGTTATTATGCTATAGGCCTAGACTGCCGGGGGATTTCCCATGATGCACTGAGCTCCTCTCTCCTCTACTTTCTCTCCCTCTGTATGCAACCTCATCCCATTATTGCATGTTACTAACACAACTTCTCCCCTTTCTGGTAGTCTTGTGCTTTCTCGTCTCTCTCCTCTCTCCTCCTGTCACTTCCTGCAGGTGTTTCTGGCTCTGGAGCTGTGGAGTCTGGATCTGTGGTTGCGGGTCACCTGCTGCCCCCGTGTTCCTGCTCGACACCCTCTGCTGCAACGACTATTGTTGCTAGTCCTATTGTTATTATTATTATTATTATAATCATTAACATTGCGATTGTTACCATTAACACTATTATAAATATCTGTACCATTTTTCATTTAGTCTATAGCAACATCACCTTTACTGTCTGTACCTCTGTGTGGATATTGTGTAGGCTGCCTCCCTCCCCTCTCTCTCTCTCTCTTTCTCTCTCTCTCTCTCTCTCTCTCCTTCACCCCAACCGGTCGAGGCAGATGGTCGCCCACCCTGAGCCATGGTTCTGCTCGAGGTTTCTGCCTCTTAAAGGAAGTTTTTCCTTGCCTCTGTCTCCTAGTGCTGCTCTTGGTGGGAACTGTTGGGCTTCTGTAAATAACATCACAGAGTACGGTCTAGACCTGCTCTTTTATGAAAAGCGCTGTGAGATAACTGTTGTTGTGATTTGGCGCAACATAAATAAAATTGAATTGAATTGAATTAAGATCTGGCTCTTCAAACACTTTGGACTGTCTGTTCCTACCTAAAGGATTGACACAGATTGACTTCACTTTCAGCACCAACTGGAACTCAGTTCAGCTTTAAACTCTGGTAACGGTTTAGTTTGCATCTCACTCTGTCAGGACTCGGTTCTCTATCGGAGCCAGGGAGTCATAGATCTTTATGAAGTCTTTCTGACAGTCGTCCTCCAGGATCAAGGTGTGGAAGTCCAGTTGGACTCGGTGGCCCGGGTCGGCCCTCAGTGTCCACTGCAGGTGGATGTTTGGTGGGTATAAAGAGTCTGGGAACCCCGGAGACATGACTCCTCCTGCTTTACTGACGTGGATGTTGAAAGACTTTTTCTCTATAAAACATGATTCAAATATAAATATGTTTTCCTGGCTGGCACTACAATATGAACTGCGCTACAAAGCCAATACCTGCTCACAGAGCAGGATCACTAATAAAACTCACTTTGGCACACTAAAATTAATTAATCTATATTTACTAAATATTCAAAATAGAATTCTCTAAATTTATGATTAAAAATTAGTCTGGTCAGAAGTAGAACATAAAGTTCCAATGACTTTCCAACTGGTTTAATAGAAATTCACACATTTTGTGTAAAACCCCTGAGTCATCTCAAAGAAATCTTGAAAGGACTTCCTCTGATATTAAAAGTCAGGATACTCCAAATAAATACACATGCATTGTGCCACTCCGGAACAACCTTCCTGTTCTACCCTTATGGTTAACTTTGATTGATTGGAATAAACAGCTCTTACCAAGTAAAGTGGTCCTGGTCATGCGTGGGTCTACAGCTGTGAACAGATCAACAAATCTTTATTTAAACTCGACAAACTAAGCAGTTTAGCTAAAGAATAGCTGTGGTAAGTACAACTCAGACAGAACTACTGTGTTTTCTCCTTCAAACATCAGTCCTGTGGTGGATGGGGAGTCACTGAGCAGTCAAACCTCGTGAGATGACCCCGTTGACGTTCAGAGCATTGACAGGTTTCAGCAGGATCCGTCCATGTCGGCTCTGCTGACTTTCTGCAGGAGAATCCAGAGACTCGATGGCTTCGTCCAGCACCGCCTGCTGGGAGGGGTGGACCTCAAAATCCGACTGGTAATACACCACGACGCTGTCTCCTCCGGCGTCTCCTTCACTAAGGGAACAAACAAGACCAAGGTTGACTGCTACGAAACACTTTCAAAAGGAAAGTTTGAACACATTTATAGATAATATATAACTTCTGTGATTTGTTGAGATTTCTTTGACAGCGAGATGGATCTGATGGAACACTAATTCAAAACAACACAGAGACGGTTTATAATATATAACACTAATTCAAAACAACACAGAGACGGTTTATAATATATAACACTAATTCTAAACAACACAGTGACGGTTTATAATATATAACACTAATTCTAAACAACACAGAGACGGTGTATAATATAACACTAATTCTAAACAACACAGTGACGGTTTATAATATATAACACTAATTCTAAACAACACAGAGACGGTGTATAATATATAACACTAATTCTAAACAACACAGAGACGGTGTATAATATATAACACTAATTCTAAACAACACAGTGACGGTGTATAATATAACACTAATTCTAAACAACACAGTGACAGTGTATAATATATAACACTAATTCAAAACAACACAGAGACGGTTTATAATATATAACACTAATTCTAAACAACACAGTAACGGTGTATAATATATAACACTAATTCTAAACAACACAGAGACGGTGTATAATATAAACACTAATTCTAAACAACACAGTGACGGTGTATAATATATAACACTAATTCTAAACAACACAGTGACGGTGTATATATAACACTAATTCTAAACAACACAGAGACGGTTTATAATATATAACACTAATTCTAAACAACACAGTGACGGTGTATAATATATAACACTAATTCTAAACAACACAGTGACGGTGTATAATATATAACACTAATTCTAAACAACCCAGTGACGGTGTATAATATATAACACTAATTCTAAACAACACAGAGACGGTGTATAATATATAACACTAATTCAAAACAACACAGAGACGGTTTATAATATATAACACTAATTCTAAACAACACAGTGACGGTTTATAATATATAACACTAATTCAAAACCACACAGAGACGGTTTATAATATATAACACTAATTCTAAACAACACAGAGACGGTTTATAATATATAACACTAATTCTAAACAACACAGTGACGGTGTATAATATATAACACTAATTCTAAACAACACAGAGACGGTGTATAATATATAACACTAATTCTAAACAACACAGTGACGGTGTATAATATATAACACTAATTCTAAACAACACAGTGACGGTGTATAATATATAACACTAATTCTAAACAACACAGAGACGGTTTATAATATATAACACTAATTCTAAACAACACAGTGACGGTGTATAATATATAACACTAATTCTAAACAACACAGTGACGGTGTATAATATATACACTAATTCTAAACAACACAGTGACGGTGTATAATATATAACACTAATTCTAAACAACACAGAGACGGTGTATAATATATAACACTAATTCTAAACAACACAGTGACGGTTTATAATATATAACACTAATTCAAAACAACACAGAGACGGTTTATAATATATAACACTAATTCTAAACAACACAGTGACGGTTTATAATATATAACACTAATTCAAAACAACACAGAGACGGTTTATAATATATAACACTAATTCTAAACAACACAGAGACGGTTTATAATATATAACACTAATTCAAAACAACACAGAGACGGTTTATAATATATAACACTAATTCAAAACAACACAGAGACGGTTTATAATATATAACACTAATTCTAAACAACACAGAGACGGTGTATAATATATAACACTAATTCTAAACAACACAGTGACGGTTTATAATAATAACACTAATTCTAAACAACACAGAGACGGTGTATAATATATAACACTAATTCTAAACAACACAGAGACGGTGTATAATATATAACACTAATTCTAAACAACACAGTGACGGTGTATAATATAACACTAATTCTAAACAACACAGTGACGGTGTATAATATATAACACTAATTCAAAACAACACAGAGACGGTGTATAATATATAACACTAATTCTAAACAACACAGTAACGGTGTATAATATATAACACTAATTCTAAACAACACAGAGACGGTGTATAATATATAACACTAATTCTAAACAACACAGTGACGGTGTATAATATAACACTAATTCTAAACAACACAGTGACGGTGTATAATATATAACACTAATTCTAAACAACACAGAGACGGTGTATAATATATAACACTAATTCTAAACAACACAGTGACGGTGTATAATATATAACACTAATTCTAAACAACACAGTGACGGTGTATAATATATAACACTAATTCTAAACAACACAGTGACGGTGTATAATATATACACTAATTCTAAACAACACAGAGACGGTGTATAATATATAACACTAATTCTAAACAACACAGTGACGGTTTATAATATATAACACTAATTCAAAACAACACAGAGACGGTTTATAATATATAACACTAATTCTAAACAACACAGTGACGGTTTATAATATAACACTAATTCTAAACAACACAGTGACGGTGTATAATATAAACACTAATTCTAAACAACACAGTGACGGTGTATAATATATAACACTAATTCTAAACAACACAGAGACGGTTTATAATATATAACACTAATTCTAAACAACACAGTGACGGTGTATAATATATAACACTAATTCTAAACAACACAGTGACGGTGTATAATATATAACACTAATTCTAAACAACACAGTGACGGTGTATAATATATAACACTAATTCTAAACAACACAGAGACGGTGTATAATATATAACACTAATTCTAAACAACACAGTGACGGTTTATAATATATAACACTAATTCAAAACAACACAGAGACGGTTTATAATATATTCAAAACAACACAGAGACGGTTTATAATATATAACACTAATTCTAAACAACACAGAGACGGTTTATAATATATAACACTAATTCAAAACAACACAGAGACGGTTTATAATATATAACACTAATTCAAAACAACACAGTGACGGTGTATAATATATAACACTAATTCTAAACAACACAGAGACGGTGTATAATATATAACACTAATTCTAAACAACACAGAGACGGTTTATAATATATAACACTAATTCTAAACAACACAGTGACGGTGTATAATATATAACACTAATTCTAAACAACACAGTGACGGTGTATAATATATAACACTAATTCTAAACAACACAGAGACGGTTTATAATATATAACACTAATTCTAAACAACACAGTGACGGTGTATAATATATAACACTAATTCTAAACAACACAGTGACGGTTTATAATATAACACTAATTCTAAACAACACAGTGACGGTGTATAATATATAACACTAATTCTAAACAACACAGTGACGGTTTATGATATATAACACTAATTCTAAACAACACAGTGACGGTTTATATATAACACTAATTCTAAACAACACAGTGACGGTTTATAATATATAACACTAATTCAAAACAACACAGTGACGGTGTATAATATATAACACTAATTCTAAACAACACAGAGACGGTGTATAATATATAACACTAACTGAAAAAAAACAGTGACGGTGTATAATATATAACACTAACTGAAAAAAAACAGTGACGGTGTATAATATATAACACTAACTGAAAAAAAACAGTGACGGTGTATAATATAGAACACTACATTTAAAGTTTCTGCGTACCTGAAGGCCTGGACTGTGGAGCCTTTATAGTATTTGGCCAGCACAGAGTTTTTGGAGTAAATCAGTTTCAGCTGAAAGATAAAATATATGATCAAGAGAGAACAAAGGACGCCACAGAGCAGCAGAACTCCCATAATGCTTTGGGGCCATGTGAATTCTCACCTGCTGGCTGACCAGAGAGGCCAAGTTTGTAAACTCTGGACTCTCTGGATCTTCATACGCTGACTTGAAATTCTGGTTATCAATTTCCATCGAGCCGACATAAACCCTGCTCTCTCGGACATCCTGCCGTACTGAGGGGGGGTCAACAGAGACAGGATCAGAAACAGGATCATAGACAACAGAGACTGACAGGATCAGCGTAGTCCTAAATAAAGAGTCCCTGGAGGTTTCACACAGTCCCGTTTCCCTCGTGTGTTTCTCAGTAGAAAAAGTTTAACTTTTAAACCTGTTAAACTGTTCAGTCTTCTTCTTAAAGAAATTTAATGCAGGGAAAAGAGGGTAAATTGTCAACCATCCTCAACCGCTTATCCTGCGTTCAGGGTCGCGGGGGGCTGGAGCCAATCCCAGCTGACATCGGGCGGGGTACACCCTGGACAGGTCGCCAGTCCATCGTAGGCACTAATCAGTTATTATAGTCCAGAAGTTAAGATAATGACCGAGTATTACAGTTTTTTCCAACTGCTAACATCATTTTGTTCACATTTTTAAAACTCTAAACACAATTAGACCAACACTGGTGTGTTAATACCAGACCATTAACACAATTCATGTTGTTCCCACAGAATATGCAGTCAATTAACTTATTTCTAAAATGCTAAGCTGTGCTTTACATACAAACTTACCCAATACCAAAACTCGTTGAGTTATTTACAAATGCTTGCACACGTCAGAAATGCAAACGTAATTTTTAAAACCTTAAATAATGTATAATGCATCTATTTCTGCTACAATAGTGGCTCAGAATCTGCATTGAAAAAGCTGATAAGCATTTCTGAATAATATTTAATTTATTCATTTAACGCTTTTATCCAAAGCAGCTTACAGCTGCTATACATCAGAGGTTGCACACCTCTGGAGAAAAGAGGGCTTAAGAGTCTTGCTCAGGGACACAGTGGGGAATTGAACCAAGTCTCTCACACCAAAGGCATATGTATTATCCACTGCTCCATCACCACCCCACTAAACATATCATTGAACCTTTGAGAAATAGCTGATTTATTGTAATTTGGGTAAAATAGATCAGGTGTTGAAGTTCTTTCAATTACATACACAATGCAGCAAAAAGAGGACTTTCTGGAGTTGAGTTTATCCAGTGTGGATACAGAACAACACAGAGGAGGAGAGAAAGAAAAAATAATGTCCAAAAAATGGAGAAGAATGGGTGGGCCAGGGAGAGGAAGAGGGTCAGAGAGCGGAGCAGATGAACCAGGGTTTCTATCCAGGTGTATAACGAGAGATGACATTAGATGAAGATAATATGGATTAGAACAGGACTTTCCCTCCTGTGAATTTCTTGTTTCAATGTAATGGTGTTTTTACAGTTTACAGTTACAGAAGTGCATGTTAGAAGTCAGAGGTGTTATCAGAGGAAGTGTTCTCTGCAGAGTGTTCAGGAGCTTCTTGAAGTCAGAGAGGGACGCCGCTGCTCTGATGGCACCATCGTGGTGTCACAGATGAGAACAAGGACTGAGATCGCTTTGCGTGAAGGGATGGCAGAGCCAGGCGGCGTTCACTGGAGGAGCGTAAATGTATTTGACAGTATTTTTACACACTTTGAACCAAAAACCACAAAGGTTGGATTATTTGTTGATCACTGGTAGAAATGTAGAGATGAACTGACTCTAAACATGTTTCCACTTCCTGCTTCAGCAGATCAAGTCGAACAAGTGTCGCTGAACTATTTCACTTCTCTACTTGAACATTTGTGATACAAAAACTCATCAGATGTAGTGTAACTCTGGCCTTCTCCCCTCATATTGATTATTTCATTTCCAGTCCACAACAGAGTCCAAAACATCAGTGTGCTGATAGTTTCTGACATAGCATTCAGTGAGATTCAGCAACAATATGCGGTGATCACCCCGTTTGATCAGCGTGCAGAGCAAAGGAAGGACCTTTAAGAAGTGAATGCATAATTCAGCAGAACAGCTGATGAAGGCTGCCTGCCCAGATTTGCATCCACCTCTTTTCTCTGCACAAAAGAGCGTTACCGGCTGCAGGAAATGCAGGTATGCAGAATTCAGCACAACACCTGTTATTCCCATAACAGAGACATGGCTAGTCGCAACTTGCCTGCTTGAAACACATTTCTGAGGACTTCTCTCTCCATTTTTCTAAGGCCAGTGGCCCTCGGGTTCATGCCACTAGTTTCTGGTTTGGAACCCATACTTCTTGTTTATTGCAGCCATGTGTAACGTCAACTACTAACGTAACTACGCTTCCTGTAGCCTGGTTTATTGGATGTAAACACACACATTTCACATCTACTTTTTTTTTCTTCTTTTTTGCGACTTTTCAAAAATCTGCTTAACATTTGCATGACAGTTAGATGGAAACATGGCTTGTTTCTTCGTGTCTCATGTAAACAGTCCACACAGCTGAAACTGACCATGAATCAGCTGTAGAAGCTTTTTTTATCAGTCTAATGTTTGGATATTCACACAGATAACAGGTTCACTCTCAATCTGACTCAGTCAGCCAGACTCTACTGTCTCTGGTGTTTACTTTATATTTATTTGTCCCCGTAGGGCAACTGGTTCTGCAGCAAGACATAGATTCCAGACTTAAGTACTGAATGTTGTGGACTCCGATTGTACAACAGTGGAATAAAGATATAAAGTGCTTAACTTTAGATCATCATTACATTAATTCATTTAGCTGACACTTGACAAAGCGACTTACAATTGCTACATATGCCTCTGGAGCAACTAGGAGTTAAATGTCTTGCTCAAGGACACAATGGTGGACGGGTCACAGTGGGGGATTGAAGCCGGGTCTCTCACACCAAAGGCAGGCATCTTATCCATTGTGCCATCACCACCCATGTGTCTCATGTGTCTGACAGGACTGAAATAAAGGTTGTTAGACTCACAGTGGAAGTGCCAGACCAGCATCCCGGTCAGCAGAGCCACGGCAGCAGAAGACAGCAGCAGACCGACTCCAATCCACAGGGTGGTCCTGCTGCCGGGAGCCTTCTCCTGATCCTGGGACTCTGGCTGCAGGAACGGAAGCTCCGTGTCGCCTTCAAGATCCTGTAGACAGGGAGACGGGTGGGGGTTCAAAATTACCAAACACAGATTACCAGCGCTCTAAATGGAACTACAGATCCCAGTGGAGGCGGTTAGCTCTATGAAGAACTACAGGTAGAACAACCAGCTTCAGGTCACTTTTATTTGAAGGGACAGAAAACATAACAACAAAACACAAACACTTCCTTCCTTTTTCCATCTGATCACAATGAATATATAAAACAAATATATATACACATTATTCACTAATACTCAGAGTACTGCTTCAGAGTTCTTAATTTGTTCATTATTTGTAGAGAGCAGCTTTTAGCTTCTAGGAGGTGGATCTCAGAATGAGGGACTGGCCAGACCTGATCCAGTTATTAGAAACTCCTTCTGACTGACCGGTTCACCTCTGATGATCGTGTCATAATTACTGCAGAGTGACTGTTACAATGAAAAACATTATTTTAATTTGATAGCGACAGCTGTTTGGGGGATTCTTTTGTCTTTTACTTTACTGCACTGAAAGACTTCATAGGTAATGTCTACTTTATCAGTGAAACGTTTAAACAAAGTGCAAATTATTAATAACTGTAAATATACTAAGAACATGACTACAATGTTTGACCGATCTGGACAACACATACTGAAGGTTTGATCCACTTCAAACTACCACTGGATTAAGTGATTTAATCCGATTTCTGAATCCTTTTATTCCTTTGAAAAAGCCATTTTCAAGATTCGATCAGATTACTTCTGAACAGCTGGGCCCAGAAGAGAAACTCTGGTTTCACTTCAGAGACTCCAGATCTTCAGAAACCGATCCATATCTCTCGGTGTTACTGTGACAAAAGACTTCGTCTGATTGGCTCATTAATCTGCGTGAACCTGTTCAGGTGTGTCAGAGTGAAGGGTGTAACAGGAATGTCTCTACAGTTGATAGTGTGTCAACTAGTCAGCGTGTTTTATCCTGCTGACACAACAATGTGTCAAAGGTCGGTCCACACCCTGTTTCGCTCCGTGGAGCTCCACCTCAAACGCTCCAACCTTTCATTTCTACACCTGTTCAACAAACAGCAAAAAGTCGAGCTAACAACAGGCTGGGAGCCGGGGGGCTCTGAGGGGGGGGCTGATTACCCAGCACCCTAATGGGGGGAGGGAACAAAAAGTTAGTTTTTTTGTTTTTTCTAAGACATAACTAAATTAGAACCGGCTGAATAAAACTGTTGAGAGACTGACCCCCCCCCCCCCCCCCCCCCCCCCAAGAAATGAAAAAATAGTGGAGGCTCAGAACTAGGATTCATCTCTAATTGGGCCAAATGGCCGCTGGTCCTGAAGCAGCAACATGTGACATTCATGTCTGTCCCCATGGCGGGAAATCAAGTTACCCAAAAAGAAAAGAAAGTGAAGGAAATCAGCTGCTAACTAATGTCTTTCAAAAGAAAGGGGAGCACAGCTGACAAATTCAGGCTAAACATCAGCAGTTTAGCCTGAATGTGGGGACTGTTGCTGACGTATGTTTGCATTGGCAACGAGAACATCAATTATTATCAGCATCAGAGCTACAGTGGGATATCACATCTTATCTGTCAACTTTAACACCAGGAAACACATTGATGTTTCAGACACAGAGTGGAGCAGTAGCAGGGCCTTCATCATGAGGGTCCCTTATTATGAAGGCCCTCATGATACCGAGGACTACAAGCGTTTGCAGCAGTTTGACCTGAAAAAGGAGGCACGGTGGTACGTGATGGATGCACCACCACAGATCCATGTGCACAGCTGTTAGCTCCATTCATTTAAAAACTATTTTTAAAGATGGGACCAGGACAGGAAGGGGGCCCTCAGAGACTGCTAATGTCCCCTGCAGGCCCCAGGATCTGGTGCTACGTCCCTGCTGGGAGGTTCCTCTGCTGATGGAGCTCGGCTAGCAGTTTCCCCCCACTTCCATTCTTTGTGCTAAGCTAAGCTCGTGCTAGACTTGTCTATATGAAACTGATATCACCTTCATATCTGGAAACGTTTGGTGAAAACAGGAAGTATTAAGATTTATAAGAATTTCTAAAGCAGATTACTACAAAACCTCAGTATAATATATCTCTCTATCTAACATTAATCTAAGGTCCGACCAGCGGAGACAGTGTAGACTGGCTCTGTATGAAAAGTGTGGGAACTGAATTAATTGAAGAGGATCGGTGTGGTACTGCACCTTTAACTTCCTGTTCTGACACTTCAGTAGATTTAGGGTGAAGCTACTGATCCATCAGTCAGTCAGTCAGTCAGCCCTTCATGTTTTGTTTCCTCAATTAGCTGTTTGGTATTTCAGAAGTCTGGAAGTATTTACAAGTCCTGTTTTTCAGTTTATAACAGAAAACTGAAAGATTTCAAAGCTCCTGAAAAATGATTCTGATCATTGGAAGCGTTTCCTGCCCGGCGCCCAGCCCCTCCCTGTTTATTAACTAGAGTGAATTCAGGTATATTGGGACAGTTTTTGTAATTCTATCTTGTGATCTCGTTCTTGTCAGAAATTTTAAAAAGTAACCCAACATATGATACATTTCTATATTTCTCAAGATGTCTGCTTTCTTTATGTGAATAAATTAAGTGTCTACATTATTTTGACAAAGCTTGGTTCCACTGGTACCATTTTGATTTAGTTGACACAAAACTCATTTTCAGGAACACGTTTGGTCATTTGGGACGCAGTTTTATTAGTGTATAACCTAGCCATTAACCCTACTGATATTTCTCAAACTGTATTTTAAACCTATTTCTTAACCATAACTAAAATAAAAATAAAATAAATCTATGTCTAAAGTTATGTGATATTATTTACTAGCCTATCTTTTGTTGTGATAGCTTAATTCATTGTTACATCAGCAAATGTCAACAGGCTGGACTATTGCTTAAGATGTTAAAATCAGTCCAACATGTTGTCGAACATGTTTATTTTATTCATTTGTTTCTTGGTGCCATTCTATTCTTAATAAATCCACAGATCAAACAAAGTGAGTAGCAGCACGCGCTTCAGAGCTACCACATTAAACAAAGTACACATTTGCTTCATTGGTTACCATTGTCAGAAGATTGTTGGAATAGGCTACTTTGACCAAATGATATGGTTTTCTACAGACTGTGGGGGGGATTAGCGTCATTAGCAATAGCACTTTACTCTGTCTACTTAAAAGTGGCCTGTGGGTTCCATCTCTGTGGTTCTGTGTTCACATACGTGAGTGGTCCCTCTGTGTATCTGCTTTTATGAATCCACATTAGTGATAAATAACACTGTCCCAATATACCTGAGACATGCTGTCCCGACACCTTAGGTCGTTTGGGACAGCAAGAAAAAAAAAAAGCTCCGGCTCTGACGTCACTGTGAGGTAATATTCCAGGTATGGACTCACCTGTTCCTGAGCGGACTTCTCCCCCGAGTCCAGTGGATCCATGTTGCCTCTTCTTCTTCTCTTTATTCCGTCCTCGGGTTCCGCCTCCGTTACTCGCGGTCAGTCTCGCGCTGCGGTGACATGGAGAGGGCAACAACAAGCGGAGCGGGAAAGCGCCTCTGAAGTTCGTTTGTCAATCTGAGCTCGGGACTGTTGTCGCGGTCAGAGCCGGATTCAACGTGTTCAGACCGGTTCTGGAGCCTGACAGAGAGAAAAGGCGACGAGACTGAGAGGGCCTTTCTCACTTCCCAAATTTCCACCTCCTCGACTCCTCGAGGCGCATTTTAGTCCCGCCCACCCGAGATGCGAGCTCGAGGAGTCGAGGAGGAGACGCGAGGAGAGGAGTCGAGGAAACACGCATTTAATGAAATGAGGTGTCCTTTCCTCGGAGTCGTCATTTGTTAATTAAATGTGACCTGTTGCACAGCTGCATCATCTGTCGGCTGTCTGAGCTGTGACCTCTGTCAGAGCAGCTGTCTGCTCTAAAGGCTGCAGATCATTTCTTCACTATCCAGAAATATCTGGAGGTTCCATTAAAATGATCTATTGACAACAGTCAGATTACAGCAGCCTGATCATCACCAGGCCTACCACGGTTTAGTCTGTAAACAGGAGATGATTTCAGCCTGATGAAGTTTATTTATCGCATGTAGTCCCAGTTCCAGCTGTCATCACAGGACTCTGCTGTTGCAATAAGGTGCAGACTACATGGGCACTATTATTAAAACATGAACCAGATCAGGTCTGAACGCTCTGGTTCATATTACAGCCTGATAATTTGACTTCAGCAGCTGTTTTGTCACGATTATTGCAGCTGAATTGGCGATATTTCACAAGCACGGGGCAGGTAAAGCAACAGTGAACACTTTGGGTACAAAGTTGGTTTCGGTTTCTATTGGCTTCCTCATTAACGGGCCGCCTCCGAGCACCCGCGGGTGAAAATCGCGAGTGCTGTGTCATTTCGGCCACTTCATAAAACAGCCCACTACTGATGAAGCAAGTCAACAGGGCGACAAATACAGGGAGAGAGAAAAGGAAAGAGGCAGGGCGAGCCGCTGAGGTTGCAGCAGAGGTGTCTGTTCCGTGCTTGTGTGGAAATATTAGAAGTGAAGGCAAAGAGAGCAGAAGTACTAGGCTAGTAGTAATGTTTTTATCCATGTGCATTCCAATGTTGAGCGCAGTGTGGGAGAAAACATTTATCTTGCTTGAATCGGTACAGAAAGAGACCCCCGGTCTTCTTGTAGGCTGAATGAAAATTCTTTGAGAAAGGTTTACTTGCACAATAAGAAAACATGCAATGCAATTTGAATCCAGAAGAAATAAATGTGCATTGAGCAAGAAAGTTACTTAAGCAACAAAAAAACAAACAAAAAAAGCTGCTGATTAGTGCATTATATTCCATTTTATAGTTATATTTGAATTGTCACCTGCTGAATTTTGTGCTGCCATTCATATAAATAAAGACATTTACTCCATAAATTGGTGCAGAAAATGTCTCCAGAATGCAGGAAATTAAGAGTTTAATGCTCAAAATCTGATGGGGGGGGGGGGGGGGGGAGCCCCAGACCCCCCACTCATACATTTATCATCAAATATTTCTTCAAAATAGTGTTAAAATATCTTCTCGTCTTATTCTCATGACCAAAGTCTTGCATCACACCCGCAGTCTCAGACCTTATGTCACCACCTCTTTTCAACACAAAGCGACGCCCTTGCTGTTACGTACAGTCGGCCTACTGCTTATATTATCTCACCATCAAAGTGCTTTACATAAAACATAAAAGCAACAGGGAAATATATAACATAGGGAAATTGAGAAAATACACATTAAAATATAATAAAAGTTACAGTGCAGTGTCCAGTCAGGGTTAAAAGAGTTAAATGGAAAATAAAAACAGGCTGAGGGGTTGAGCAAATAACTGAGATACAATTATTTTGAAAAGAGAATAAACTGAGAAGTACACTTAATCACTACACTACAGAGAAACCAGGACATGTCTGTCCGCAGGCCGCTTTGATCCAGTTATACTCTGGACCCACCTGCACGTTTACAGGTGGACACAAATGTACACAAATGTAGCCTAAGTAGTGAATGTGTGTTGGTGGGGATGCGTGGTATGGTGGGCTGGCGTACGTGGCTACAGTGCCAGGGCTGAATTTTTGTCCCAGTCCGCCCCTGGGCTCGGACATTAACGGAACTTATATAGGCCTATAGGCATAAATCAGGAGCTCAGGTTGATCAGGAGGACGGCTGCTTTACTCCAAACACTTTCACTGGATGAATCTGGACTCTGTGGGAGACCTTTTGGATGTGAAGAATAACACAGAACATGAATTAACACCAGATCCTGACCGATCCTGTCGGCGTGTCGGGAGATTTATTATTAATAATTTATGTTGCTGTGGCTCGTGCGTAAATGCGCACAGTGTTACTGGAGAGACGCTTCATCCAGCCGCTGTTTACTACAACCCTGCATCATATTCAACTATAACAACATCAGTGATAAAGTGAAATTAAATTAAGGAACGCGGTTAGAACAGCGCTTTATGAGGCGCTACACAAACGATAAAGGGCAGAAAGTTCCATCGCGCATTTGATTCTTTTTAATAGGCTGAACTGATACAACTTCTGAATACAACAGGAACACTGCAGCGTCCTGCTCCGGCCGTGGGTCGGTCCAGCTGCTCGTCACGCCTCTTGTAAGCATCGCAGCGGCTGAAAAGACTTCCGCAAAGGATACACCGATGTATTCTCGTTTATAGCTCCTCCAGCAAGCCTCCTCCATCCTCGATGTGCATTTTAAAAGCTGCAGCTGCTTTTAATCACTTTATATACTGCAGAGCACTTTGAGTTTTACCTTCATATAGAATAAAGTTTTATGATTCTTACTGCTGAATCATTAATAGCTGCAAGCATGTAGACCTGGCTGTGAAAGTATCAGGCATGTTTGTCTAATTATTATAATAATAAAAATACACTTGTTAATATTATTATCTACAATTACGCTTCACACAACAGCTGTTTGCAACCTGACCTTTTCTCCGTGAGAGGGAAGAAGTTTGAAAAGTTGCGTGGCGCTGCGGGGAGCCCCCAGCTGCAGGACTGCATGGATCATGCGTAATATTTATCCAGCCAGACGGACCCATCACGAACCGTTCACAGCGCGTACCGGAGACGGAGTGGGGCGGATCAGGGAGATCGCGAAGCGACCGGCCCGCTGCGAACAGTCCGTGATCGTTCCCTCTGGCTGGATGAAGTCTGACGCTCCTGACCTGGTGGAGAGTTTCCCCAGATCATCCTGAGAGGAAAGTGAAGGGCCGAACTTCCACCCGACAACAAAGCAACAGAGAGGCGATGGGATGAGGCCCCTGAGACCGGTACCGATGTAACGAAGGATTATCAAAATATCAGTTAGTGGGATGTTCGATACTCCGATCACGAGCCGCCTTCGCCACAAACATACACCAATAAAAGAAAACCACCAAACACTAATTCAGTCACTCCAAATAAAGCTGACTGTAAGGTAAGAACCTTTCAAAATATAAATTAAATGCCCACAATTCAAATGATAAAGAAACAGAAGGGGGGGCAGGGGGGTGAGTGTGTTCAGATGTGTGTGGATGTGGTCCAGTCCAATGGGGGGCAGAAGGTGGTCCTGCCTGTGGTCCAGTCCAATGGGGGGAAGAAGGAGCAGCCTGGAGAGTTGCAAGAAGGAAGACTTAGCTTTGCTGGTCCACCAGGACGAGGAAGCTCCAAGCTGCAGCCGAGCAGGTTGAAGGGCGCGTTAACATGGTGGTCCACACCTGCTCCAGGGTACAGCACAGTTTCCCACAGTCCTTTGTTGCTCATTTAAGTTCACAAAGTCTGGACAGTTCTTGGTTCCACTGCTTCTCCAACTCTTCTATATGCGATTCAGTTTCACTCCAAGGCCAGGAGGCCTCAAACCTGGGTTAATTCAGCAAACTTCCTCTTTCCTCTAAACTTCTCACTCGTCTGTTCTCCTCCATGCATGAAATGTTTGTCTTCCCTTCCCCGAGCTCACAGGTGCCTGATTTATCTCCTCCTGCTCAAACCACACCCCTGACCAAAAGCAAAAGGCTACAAAAGGCTACACGGCCACCCTGTCTGTGGTCGGCACCTCAGGTTCTTAGCTAGCCGCCCTGTTTGTTGACATATTTCACACCGGATGGATGTTTCAGTCTGCAGCAGTGGGAGGCCGACCGACTGATGCCGAGAGCATTTGTTCAAGCTGCACACAGTCTTTAGGACATTTTCTGGAAAACATTCAGGTCTGGACCAAATGTCTTGGAAATTCATCCAATCAGTCTGGACCAAGTTGGCGAACCAACCGACACCATCGTCTGTAGAGCTAAGAAGAAGTTGCTGCATCATGAATTTACCTGGTTCAGACCACCTGTTAAACTGCGGTTCAGGTTTCCTCACAGTCAAGTCATTAAAAAACAGACACCATGTCTGCATGACTAAACATACACAGGAGACCACGATCCAGCCGCTGGTCTGGGGGAGTATAGTAAAAACTCGTGCAGTTGAAAAATATTTTTAATCTTTGAACAGAAAGTTTAACTTTATTATGTGTGTGAATTAATTTGAGGCGGCCATAATCCAAAGAGGCAAATGACTCCAGGACACTGAGAGAAATACTGGAGAAAACATCTGGATAACGCTGCTCACTATTTAAATAAAACAAGTTCTGCGAGTTCCCTAAACACTCTGGAGTTGGACTGAGAGGGCCCGGCTCGCAGTTTCTGTTCTAGCTCACACTAAGGTGCCGGTCAAGTTCTTCCACACCAAACGGGTCCCGATTCTCATCAGTACTGGACTGACTTGTAATGCAGATTCTGGACAGTAGAGGTTGCTACTGCACCTGTTTCTCTGTCCTAAGGAGTAAAATGGATCCAAATAGAGTGCATATAAATCCAACAGTAAATCCTGAGACCGGAGCAAAGACCAGCCAAGATGGATGCACAGAGGAAACACAGCACAACAGGTTCTGGTTTCTGTTCTTTATTAGTGGAATGGAATATACACCTCTGTGCTTTAATGCTCTTTTCTCCTGCCTTCATTCACTCCGCTCTCTGAGACTCAGTTCACTGGATGAAAAGATGTTTAACTCTGCAGCATCTGAAGGGCTGCTGTCGTACTTCCCCCCCTTCAGTAAGACTTCGTCACATTTCACAAACACCGCTTCAGATGAAAAACACAATTACAAATTTAAATGAATACAAACAGGTGGAGAGTTTAAGAGCAACTTAACACGAAATCCCCTCCTTCACACAAAGCGTTCAGTTATGGATCTGGTTCGAGCTCCTCCAGAGACTCTGTGCAGCACCTGGACATTGTTGTGGTTTAGAGCAGAGGGTCCCAGCCTGAAAGGGGTCCTAAGAATATGTTCTAGAATTAGCTTTTTCTGTTGTAAATAAAACTCTTTGGTCACAAGCAGACAGCTTCGTTTTCAGGGGCCACAGGTACAACAAAGGCAGGAGGAACTGCTGATCCAACGGACCACAACCAGCGGAACGTCATCCAAGACGTTCCCTTCACAAGGTGGACTTAGTGTTAGGATCCTCTTTAACTCTCCCACCGAGGCCGTGACACACAACATCTGCCATTTTCATGAACCTTTGAGCCGTTTGCCAAACAACATTTAAACCATGGCTGTAAGGATCGACGCTAATCTTAGCATCAGTATCATGTGTAGCATTTTCACACCTGCACAAAAATCACAATATGAAATTAAAACAGCTTCATCCCCCAAAACTGAAATGATAAGTCACTGATTAAAGAAATTAAAGATCAATCAAACAAATCCATTAGAATAAATACTGACTTCATGGCTTCAAAATGCTACAATCAGCTTACTTTTAGCAAATTTACAAATAAAAAGACACAATTTTGTCCGTCAGCAACTTGTGATTGGAATAAGATATTATCTCTGACAGTTCATAAAACTATTCACTTATTAAGTCAAAGGAACATTATACAATACAAAGGGGAAATGATCATTTGCTGCAGTCGGATTCAGACTTGCTTCAGAGGTTTCCTGTTTATCGCAGTTGAAGAAACAAAGATGAGAGAGACAGCAAGATCAGGTCCGACCCATGAAGGCGTCCCGCAGTAGAAACAGTAAAGTGCAGCAAAGCTCCCAGCCGTTACCCACAAGCCTCAACATTTAGCGTCACAAAAACATTCAAACCCAAATAAATTACAAGAGTAACTAAAGTCAAACCTGCTTTCAGCTTCATTCCCTGTACAGTTCATCAGTTTAATATAAACAAAACTTACAAAGAAGCTTCATGACCCAGAAAAGACCGAATAAAAACCACAAGAGTGAGAGTTTTTTAACACAAAACTGAACTAAAGTCAGGGACTGTTTGTTACAGAAATAAGGAACTTCCTGTCAAAATTACAGTCACAAGGCATTTGTAATTACCGTATCAGCCCATTACGGTAATAATCCCACTTACTAGCTTCTTCTGGAGCTTCATCTGACGTAACATCACTCAGACTATGAGAAAAGTTAGAGTTAGAATGATTCTGTCCAACAGACAGGTAACATGTACTTAGTGAAGGACAGCCATGACGCATAAGGTTCATTTAGACACTAAGCTGTTTCAGTTATTTTACTGTTAAATGCTGTAGACGGGGTGTAGGGGCCGGCTGGGAGCACATGAAGTATTAGTGGACGTACTGTGGAAAATAAAAGAGTTGAAGAACCAGTGAACAGCCTCCTCTCTCTGCCGTCTCTGCAGGAGAAAACAGATAAAATACCTATAACGGTATCCATGCATATTTGTGACAGCTCATCATACAAACACACATTCATACAAACACACACATACACTTTGCATTCTGGCGAGGAACATGCCTGAATGATTTTACTTTGATATATTCTTCTGGGTATTCTAACGTACGCTTCTCGTGGTGCAAACACTCGGCTTGAAAAGTTTGGGTCAGGGGAGGATGAGGAAAACTAACCGATGACGGGCGGGAGAGAAGAAAGGAAGAGTTGTCATGCAAAAAGATGATGAGATGAGATTTCCCCCTTTGTGTTGTGTTTGTTTCTAGCTTTTTTCTCTGATATGACGATAAGTTCCTATGATCAGTAGTGCTACTTCTACTGCACGAGGCTCATGCACGGAGGAACGCCCCACCACTTTCATCTCTATCTTTTTTGTCTTTTTCTGGTTTGAGGGTTCGACTGGAAGATGCAGTGAAAGTCTATGATACAAAATATGTTACAGTATGTACGTCTTGTCTCCCGTCTGTGTGTCAGTCACTCACACTCACTTCTGATTGGTCAGGGAAACGCTTCGCCAAACTACTTGCAGCTAAAGTCACGTGTGGGTGATGGTGGAACAGAAATGCATTGTCCCCTGTTGAGATTCACATCTCAGAAGTAGACTGAGGCTACATCCACACCACTACGACCTCCGTGCTCACCAGGGTGTTAGCTGCGTATCAGATCTCTGTTTTTATTTAAACGACACGTGAACACGTAAACATCACGTGACCGTTCACGTACACTGAGCGTGTGCGTGCCGGTGTAATCAGGAAGCAGATTGTCTGCTCTGCAGCTGAAGAAGAAAGTTCTACTGGAGACGAAGGAAGAGCAGCGATGGAGAAGAACCACAGCAGAGATTCCTCTGCACGGAGCGACGGCGAGGTGGAACTGTTACCGAGAGGAAGACGGGAGGACAGAGAGACGGTGGCGGCGGGAAACAGGCTGGGAGTCGACGCAAAGTAAATACGGAGACACGCAGAGGACAAGTGTAGAAGAGTAATTTACACAGTACAGAATACTAAGAATAAAACTCTGTCAGCAGCATCGTGTTTCTGCTCCGACTGACTGATCAGAACCAATCAGGAAGCCAAACGTGAGCGTCATCGTTTCCACCCGTCGGCACGAACACGCCGCCCCCGAGTTTAAAACCAGAACGGGCTGAGCAGCGTTTTCACACTTCAACGTTTCAGTCTGGATGCGAGGAAACGCAGCAGAAGGTCTGAGGTTTAAACAAAGACGTAGGAGTGTGGGTGGAGCCTGAGAGAAGAGCAGCACTTCCTGCTTTTCTTTTTATGATATCCTATGATAAGCAGCAGGAACAAAGTCAACTTAGGCGATGTGGTCTGCGTTTAAATTTGAAACAGTTTGTGCTAGTTCTACTTTGTTGGAAACGTTTTAACAAGTGACGGCCATTTTGTGCAAACACTAACATGAAAGTAATGGCTTTTAACATAATTTGTGTGCATAACATTAAATATGATCATTTTGATTTTATTGCATGAGTCGGTCTCTCTTAGCATTTTTTGCACGTCATGGGGACAAACGTGACTTTAAAGCTGAAAAGCTTTTGGCGTTGCATTCCCTTTTCCCATTTTCATCTGATGTACTTGTGTTCTCGCTCTCATTGAAAAGATCACACAACAAATTAAATTCTTAGTTGCTTTACATTATGTTCCCTGCAATAATCACTGACGTTTTATAACACATTATTATCGGTATTATTATTCTGTTCATTTGTTGATGCTATTTTCCTGCTTGTTGTAATGTTGCATATTTTGAAAAGTAAAAGGCTTTCGTCCCTGGTCCGACAAACACTTCTGAGCTACAGCCAGACCAGTCCACATCAGACCTGATGAATCCAGTCCCTCATTTAACCCTTTCCTCTCCACAGTCCCGTTTAGAAAGGTAAGGTGAGTCCAGCTCGGTTTGTCCCAGTTCCTTGAAGGTAAGATCAGCTCAGTGTAGTTAGTTAATTAACAGTACTCAGGCTCAGCATAGATCAGTTAAACCCAGATGAGTTCATGTGTTTCAGCAGCATCTTGATCATTATTAAGATTTTCACGTTCTTACATGTTTCGCAACTGGATTCTGAAAAAAGCTCACAAGTTCTCGCTCATGGTTCCCTTCCTTTTCTTAAAAAGTGTCCTGAAGTGGCTTCAGCTGCTGAATCAGAGCCGGGGAAGAGATCTTCCATACATACTCCCGAACTCCTTAAGATTTGAAGACATGTTGACCCATTGTTGGGGTTAAAACCTACAGTCTTTCAACCAGCAGAGGTCCAACACGACACTGAAATGAGCAGCATTTTTTCTGCAGTCAGACTTCCAGTCTGTCGCTGCAAAGAAAAGAAACCAGCATGCATTTGAATCAAGACAAAAACCAATCCATAAATGTCTGAGCTCCACGGGCCTGATAGCCGTCACCTGTTTCCCACAACTTCCAAAACAATCAAAAAACTGTATCATGGCTTGTGAAGCTGCTGAAGGTTGTTTGGTTGTTAACAGATTGTCTCTGTCACGTCTTCTTCCAATCACAGATGAGTTTGACAACAAACCAGCTGAGTCTAAATGATCCTCCGATGGTCAGCAGTCTCTCTGATTCATTCAACATCTCTTTTCAGAATAAAACCATTCAGTGCCAGGTTTAGACTGAAAAATAAGACATTTTGTAACCCTCCACTGAAGCATTATGTTTAGTGGGGATGCCAAATGGACCCAACGAAACCAACGCTTCGGGTGGGGGTGCTGCATTTCTGTCTTTACATCGTTTCCATCGTCAGTTCAGGATGAACCCTCCAGGGTTTGTGCTCCGAGATCCAAAAGGTAAAACAGTGCAGGAGGGCGTGTCGGGGGTCTATAATGCATGAGGGACTGATTCTTAAGACTTTTTGCTCCCCTTCGTACAGTAAGCCATTGTGTCTCCATTTGGTTCAGCCCATGTAATCCACAAAATGGTGTGAGGAAGTGAAAGGAAACAGCGGACCTCAGAGCCTGAGAAGTCTTTGTCACCCAAATTCTCGGCTAGCAGTGCCCTGGGTTCAGGTTCAAGGGTTTAAAGGGAGTTCAGGGTTACGGGGAGGGTGGCTGCTGGGGCGGGTGTCGAGGGGGAAGTTGCAGGCGCGGTCAGACGTTATAAGGAGGAGATTTTGAAGGTGTCGTGGGTGTAGGTGGTGGCCTGGGTGTTGCGCAGGATACCGGGAATGGGGGCAGGCGATGGGGGGAGGCTCTCATCAGGTGTGTTGGCGGGCGGCGTGGGGATGCTGATGATGGCAGCGGAGAAATCTTGTTCCCCACAGTTGAGCTTCAGGTCACCGGTCTGGGCGTTCAGACTGGAACGACTGGAGAGACACAAAAGACAGCGTTTTTATTTCTGAAGAGGAAAGGAAGACGAAACAGTGCTGCCAGGTCCAGTACCCACGGAACTGCTGACTTTTAAGTCAACTATAAAGGAAATAAAACTATGATAATACATTGTGTCAGAGTTTTGCAAATTTTTCCATTTTCCAAAAAGAATACATCTGTTTTTGGACAACAGTGTCTTACTGTGTGTTCAGGCAGTGAGATGCACTCAGTGCGCAACAACTGCACACAGAGTCGATGGACGGACACGAGTGGACGTGAATAGATGCAAATTAGTCCAGGATGTCACGAACTGAGACAAACCAAAGCTACAAATACAAAAAAGCACCAACTTGAGGGGGCCAGTTAGCTCACTTGGTGGAGCCCCATGTAGAAGTCTGAGTCCTTATTGCAGGGGCCCGGGTCTGAGTCCAGCACGTGACCCTTTGCTGCACGTCATCACCTCTCTCTACGTCAAAGGCAAAAAGCCCCAAAACTATCTAAAAAAATTAAACGAAAAGCACCAACGTGTGCAAATTGTTCATGTTTGTGCTGTGGCTCAAATCAAACTACTTCAGAAATGTGACGAAAAAGAAAGAAAGAAATGTTCCTGGTGATTTCTGAGATCATGCGCATGGCTAACTAGCTTACAGCTAAACTCTGTACAGCTGCTTCATTAACAGTCCAAAGCAACCAAACTGTTAAAAGCATGTTAGAGTGTTTTCCGTGGTATTAATAGTAAAATATTAAGCACATGGAGGCTGAGTTTCCTCTGCTCCTCTCTGTTTGACCTAAAAGAGTTTATTGATCTGTGATATAAATATATACGTATGTCTCTACGGTGGCGTATCTTCTGTACAGCTGTATTGTATCAGTAGTTATTATCACTGTTTACGTCTGAGGCGGGATGCAGGTGGTTTTGACGTGCAGGGTGTCCAGCTCCTGGACGCTCCCCCGGCTGACGGACACCGTGGAGTTGGCCAGTCGCATGGCGGCTCTTCTCCTGGCCCGGCGGGGGCAGCAGCCGGTAGAGTTGTTCTGCGCCCCCTGCTGGCTGGACAGGGAGGTGCTGCGACTGGTCCTGTAGCCCACCGACTCCGTCATGCACAGCTCGCTGTAGTTCACCTCGTTTGTGAACTCGTGGTTCTGTGAGGAGAGGGTGGAGGTCAGACCGGCTAACACACACCACACGTTGGCTTAGAAACTGAGACTGACAGGTCCTTGAAAAGTTGAGTTGAATGATTTCAATCAGGAAATGTAAAAGTTTTCCTTTTAATATTAAGTTTTATGCCATGGAATAGAAGTTCCTAAAAGTTCAATAAACAGTAACAGAAACTAAACGGAACTTAACTTTTGGTAAGATTGTTTTTCCAACTTCTGTTTCTAAGGTCATTAATGAACTTCCAGTCTCAACGTGAAGTACAATGAAAAACTGAGTTTATGTTAAGGCTGTGTGCAAAGATAAAGACATGCTAACAGGATTTTAAGCCTCACTGGTGTCTATCGACGTGAAAGCAGATGGAAATCTGAACTTGAGATGTGTCTGTGTGATGTGAGACTAATCAGCAGCTGCTGATTGGTTCCTCACCGTCGTCTTCTCCAGGCAGTGCAGCAGGTGGTTGTGTTGATGCTCAAACGCTGATCTGTTCTTCACACAAAGAGCCGTGCTGTCACTGTCCGGATCCTCAACACAGAGAAACAAACACAAATGAGTTACAACCTGATCCTTTCATCAAGCTGAAATGATGATAAGAATCATTTTACTTTCTGTGATATATTGATAACTCTCTCTCTCTTCATTTTTTACACAGCAAATTCAGACAGGTCCTGATTTGCATACTAGACTGAAGTGTGCTGACAGTGTGTTGGATATTTACTCAGGACTGAAACAGTGAAACAATGTGTCAGCTTCTGGAGATTTGTACTTATTGAGCTTACAGGGGCGGACTGGGACAAAAATTCAGCCCTGGCACTGTAGCCACGTACGCCAGCCCACCATACCACGCATCCCCACCAACACACATTCACTACTTAGGCTACATTTGTGTACATTTGTGTCCACCTGTAAACGTGCAGGTGGGTCCAGAGTATAACTGGATCAAAGCGGCCTGCGGACAGACATGTCCTGGTTTCTCTGTAGTGTCCGAGGGTTTTTGGAGTTTCAGTGGACACAAAAATTGCTGTGGACCCAAGTACAGACTAGCCAGAGAGAGTAGATTAAGTGTACTTCTCAGTTTATTCTCTTTTCAAAATAATTGTATCTCAGTTATTTGCTCAACCCCTCAGCCTGTTTTTATTTTCCATTTAACTCTTTTAACCCTGACTGGACACTGCACTGTAACTTTTATTATATTTTAATGTGTATTTTCTCAATTTCCCTATGTTATATATTTCCCTGTTGCTTTTATGTTTTATGTAAAGCACTTTGATGGTGAGATAATATAAGCAGTAGGCCGACTGTACGTAACAGCAAGGGCGTCGCTTTGTGTTGAAAAGAGGTGGTGACATAAGGTCTGAGACTGCGGGTGTGATGCAAGACTTTGGTCATGAGAATAAGACGAGAAGATATTTTAACACTATTTTGAAGAAATATTTGATGATAAATGTATGAGTGGGGGGTCTGGGGCTCCCCCCCCATCAGATTTTGAGCATTAAACTCTTAATTTCCTGCATTCTGGAGACATTTTCTGCACCAATTTATGGAGTAAATGTCTTTATTTATATGAATGGCAGCACAAAATTCAGCAGGTGACAATTCAAAATATAACTATAAAATGGAATATAATGCACTAATCAGCAGCTTTTTTTTGTTTGTTTTTTTGTTGCTTAAGTAACTTTCTTGCTCAATGCACATTTATTTCTTCTGGATTCAAATTGCATTGCATGTTTTCTTATTGTGCAAGTAAACCTTTCTCAAAGCATTTTCATTCAGCCTACAAGAAGACCGGGGGTCTCTTTCTGTACCGATTCAAGCAAGATAAATGTTTTCTCCCACACTGCGCTCAACATTGGAATGCACATGGATAAAAACATTACTACTAGCCTAGTACTTCTGCTCTCTTTGCCTTCACTTCTAATATTTCCACACAAGCACGGAACAGACACCTCTGCTGCTTTAAAGCTTTAAAACTGTTGCTTTAAAGCTGATGTGTGGGAAACACTGATATTAAAATTAATCTGACCAGCCCACCCCGAAACATATGCCAGAATTATCAGGTGGCCAGTCCGTCCCTGGTCAGGGACTTCTCTGCAGAGGCGATCACTGGGAAGCATCAAAGGCAGACTGAAGATGTGTCAAAGAAAAATGGACTTAAATTCTTTAACATGTAGGCTTTTCCAGTCCGGTGCACAGGTCCTGAACTACTTCATGAAACTTTTTCATTTAATTTCTTAGCAGGTACACACAGGCAGGAAAGTATTTACTGAAAGTTTTACTTTGTGATGAAGCCTGAAAGTCCACTAAAGTTAAAACCTATAAATAATCTCATTCTCTCATTTTAATCTGATCCCCTCCCTCTCTTTCTCTTTCTCCAACACCCAGCTAATCTCCCTTTTTTTCTTCTGCTCGGCTTCCTCTCTCTTTCTATTTCTTCTCCGTTTCCATCTTTCTGTCTGCTGTTTCAACTCACTGGTTTTCTTTCTTTCCTCCTTTCCTCAGATCACACAGAAGGAACAGGAGGCCTTATCTTCCTCTTCATGTCCTTGTTCTCTTCATTCCCATGCTGCACCACTGCTCTCCTCCTCTTCTTCATCCTCTTATTTTACTCTTTCCTGTCTCTTCTGCTGCTCTACCCTCTCCCCCTCATTATGCACTCTTTAAATCCAGCAATCATCCCTCTTTCTGGAGAGGGATTAAAGCTCAACAATGTCGGTGTGTGTCTACCTATCCACTCTCTCCCTGAAGTTTAAATCCATTTCACAGATAAAACTCCAGTTAATGTTTCATCCTCTTTCAACCATTGAGACTTGATAGAAATAAAGTTCCTCACCTGCACATTAACGTGCACATTATTTTCAGCCTATCAAAAGATGATGTACTGAACAGGAACAGAAGTTACAGACTGATGGAAAAGGCATCAGGGGCACTTTGGGGTTCACAGATTCCCCGTTGTTGCTGAAGTACCTAAACTGAGACACAGCTCTGGACCAGCAATAAAGTATGTAGCCTTCTTGATATTTGGACAGACAGGAGCTTCTTCCTGTGTTTACCAGACTCACCCTTCACAGGTTTTTAATGTGGCTCTGACTGATGCAGTTTTTTATATAAAAACTGAAGCAAAGCAAAGTTACCAACTCATCTGGTGATTCAGACTGGATCAAACCAACTGCAGGTCTGAAAATGGCCTTTGAAAGTCCGCCTCCACTCTCTGGTTTCACTTTCTCTCTAACTGGAATCCACCCGACCTGCTGGATACTGATAGTCTGTGTGTGTGTTTGTGTCTCACCCCGAATGATTGGTCTTCTTTGTACTGGAGGAAGGCGTTGGCTGTTCCTTTCTTCGCCATACGGATCCGAGCCAAACGCACTTTCTGTCGGACAGGAATACACAGGAAAACAGCAGCGTCAGCACACGCACACACAATAAGGTTAGTGAAGTCCAGCTTCTTCTGTTGTCTCTCTCTAAAGCCAAGCCTCTCTGGTGATTTCATTTGTTGTTTTAGAGGATAATAATCTTTATTATCTTTATTTCATTCTAATCAGGGTGGTGAGAGGGTGAATACATTAGCAGAGGTCCTCAGGTGTGCTGCGATGTCCCTTACTGAAATCCTCTGAATGTGATTTACTGGTCAGGAGGTTTTTCTGTCGGGAAACACATTTGGAAACAGTCCTCTCAGATTGTTTGCAGCTAACAAGATCAAACATGCATTAGTAAATTTAAAGGTTAATGAATAGCAAGTAAACTTAATGTATATTTTTCTCTGAATACATGGTTTGTTTTTACTTACAAACAACAGAGATTGTGTTATTTCACATTGTCCCTGATATATTATGAATTACTTATTCTGTATGCTGTCCTCTTTCATATTAATACATAACGTTCTTTACATTCATACATCTTTAAATTTTATTTTTAATCAAACAAATAAACTAAATGTTTTGTATGCTAATGCACAGCACTTTGTCTGCTATCATGCTAACTGTAGCTTTAACCACTAGGTGAAACTCAGTGGAGATGTGAGAGTGAGGAACACTGAGTAGAAATCCTGCTACGATCTGAAGCCTCAGGCCTGATAGTGTGCTGATGTAGTTGTACTTTCCTTTTACCGACTGCACCTTTAAGTCCGACACTTTCAGAGAGTCATGAGAGCCCCACCTGCTGCGCTCTCATCTTGTCCGCTCTCTGGTTCTGGTGGTAGATCCGGCTGAAGTTGGACACGATGACAGGCACCGGCAGGGCGATCACCAGCACGCCGCTGAGTGAGCAGATGGAGCCGAAGATCTTCCCTGCGATGGTGTTGGGAACCATGTCGCCGTACCTGCAGGAAGAGAACAGCGTCACATCATCAGCAAACACACTGACCAAAACTTCTCAAACATCCAGTTATTTTCTGCTGCTTGTTCAGGCAGAAAGAGGTCCTCTAGCTCTACCTGGAGGACCTGAGACACTGCAAGGTCAGATTGGAAATGTGGGCCCTCCGCCGTGGCCTCTGTTTGGCCTGAAATGTCCTCCCAGCTGGAAAGGTCTGGAAATCTCTAAAGGGACACAGGCTCCTATAGGGGCCAGGAAGAGGGCAAAATAACCCAGTACCAAGTAGCATCGAAACTTCTCCAGTCAAACGAGTATTGCATTCGATCCAGATTGGGGAAAAACATTGTATGGTTCCACTCTCAGCCAAAGCAACACGCCAAAAGGAACAGAAGATATGACTCTTTATTTCCTTATGTGCCTGCATACGCTCAGTCCATGTGTGATTTTAACTGCCGCTCAGCATCTGCTGCGTCTTTGGCATGTTCATCACTGTTTCTTACCACAAACTTTGCTTTCCATTGGTTTCATCTTCTGATATCCTTTCACACAACGCTGTACATTTTTATTTGCTATTCACATCACTTGTCACAGATCAATTACTGCGTTCTTTCCTCTGATTATAACGTGTGAATGGCCTGATCAGGATGACAAGCTGATACAAGTTTCCACTATTTTTATACCACAGTTATTGCAAACGATGAAAGACAAAAGAAAAAAGATCATCTTGCTCGTCGATAACAACAACAACAACAACAACAACAACAATAATAATAATAATACAAATCAACTACTTTGGCTTCTACAGGTGGCGTTTTACACAGGGTACTGAAGTGTTGGTATCGGTAACACAAGGGTTCTTGTACTGTAAAATTTTAAACGATACCCAGCCACGGCCAGGAAGCATCCCGATGAGATGTCCTGCCTACCTCAACAAGCCATGAAGGATCAGAGGTTCCACTGCAAAAAACACTTTTTCGTAGGTTGTTTTCTGCACAGTTTGAACATGCTAGAGTCTACACGCTGCCCTCTGGTGGCCAAACCAGAGGGAAGGAAGCTGGAAACACATCTGATGGAAAACTGTTCGTGAAGTCTGAGGATCAGCTGTTTGTTTAAGCTGCTGACATTTAACAAAACTACAGAACACAAACAGAGATGCTGATCTCTGCGGAGGCGGAGGAGGAGGAGATCAGAGTGGATTTGGCTCAGTTTTACTGTATGAACAGCAACATTCAGGCTCCTGTCAATTAATGATTCTTGTGTTTTATTACAGTTAGAGGAAGCAGCTGAAAATCTTCACTTTTTTCCTGTCATTCTCTGATAATGATCAAATATGAGCTTATCTCTGGAGATCAAACTGCGTAATACAGTGGTGGAAGAGAACTGAAGTACTAACACCACCTTGTGAAAATACCTGCTCTACTTTATGTATAACAATATAGTTTGATTTAAGTTCCAGTCTTAGTTTTTGATTGTTGCTATGGCTGCATGAATAGTTTCCTTGTGATTAAATTATTCATTTTACTTTTCCTCTGGTGTCTGTCTCACTGTGGAATTACACTCTTTTTATTCAAATATGCAAATTAAATCAGACTGTAGATCAGATATCCAGGTAATCAGGTATCTGCATTATGTCTGAGGACACGCCCCCGTCTGCTGTGTTAATGCTCATATCTGAGAGGTCATTAAATCAGCGTCCCTTCTGTTTCATTATGAATCTCCAGCCGGCCGCTGGAGTTGGTTCATTTCATCACTGAAGGATTCTCCATAACCTCCCGTTGCATTAGTAAACGCCTCCCAGGTATATCGGTGATCCATTGAAGCATTTTCCAGAGAAACACAAAGAGTTGTTATCTACATTTACATTTTACATTTATTCATTTAGCTGACACTTTTATCCAAAGCGACTTCCAATTGCTATATATGTCAGAGGTCACACGCCTCTGGATTGAACACGGGTCTCTCACCAAAGGCATAGTCTTATCCATTGCGCCATCACCACCCCTATTACGTTGCAGGATGCGGATACAGTGGATGTTTCCACCATGTCTGACCATGTAAAGCACCAGTGAACACACCTGTGCAGATGTCACTCGCTAGCTACCACGTTGTGTTCGTTCTGATAGGCTTCGTCGTTAATGAGCCTCCTCCAACTGCTGACTTTATAAAACATTCAGCTGATGGAGAAAGTCAGCATACAGGGAGAAAGAGGCGGGGCCAGCAGGTGTGTTTGCAGCACAGGTGAAGGAGTGCAAGGAAAAGAGAAGTTAAGGGAAGGGAGCAGATTCAAGTAGTGAGGAAACACTAAGCTAAGGTGGAGAATGAAGCAGAATTTAAATGCTGCAATAAGAAATAAGCTAGCAGAAAGCAAACACCACACATGTATCCTCCAGACCTGAGGAAGGCTTAGAGTCATCTCCACCACGTTACCTCATGAACAGCCGTCATCCCGTTGGCTAAAAGCACAAGTGATATGCAGGTAAAAGGTTAAAACACTCCAGGGTGATGCTATGAAACCTAATTAGCACCTTAGTTTACTGGAACACCTGAGACAGAGTGTCTTCCACAGTCATTTGCGGAATGAGTGTTGGGAAGTCTCTTTGACCGCAGCTCTCAGGTCAGTTTTACTGGACCTCCAGCATCCTCAGCAGGGAGCGATTATTGGCAGCTGGGAGCAGATCAATGAAGAGAGCGGGCCGACTGGAACAGGACTCAGCTGTAGTTGTTGGCAAAGCGTTCAGAGGAATCGAAGGAGATGTCAGATGAAGGCCAAACAGTGAAGATGAATCACTAACTGAATCCACCCTGAACATCAGCCGGACCTAAATCTTCATCCTGACACATTTTACTTCGTTTATTTCTCTCCCATCACTTCTCAGTCAATCCTGCTTTATTCAGGTTCCAAAGTTAGAAAAACATATAAAAATGGTGAATCATTTCAGCTCAGTATGTGAAGACTTGGCTTGGGAAGGGATGACAATAAAGTTGATTATTATTTAAATTTCATTTCAAACCTACCGAGTATGCCCATGTGGAATTATTTGAAATGAGATAAAATGATTGTTTTTGTCATAGAAAAAGGTTGAAACAGCTCTGTTCATGTTTTCTAACGTAACTCTCCAATCAGTCCAGTTTAGAAGCCTCACCTGTTCATTTAATGTTGCTAATCAGTCAGTTCAGGTTAGCTAAATTAGCTAAACACCTTCAGTTCAGCTTCAGGCAGAGATGGGGACTTGAGTTTGAGACTCGGACTCGAGTTCGACTGAAGTCGCACACACAGTGACTTCAGACTTGACTTGAGACTCATCCTCAAAAAACTTCAGACTTGACTCTTGCTCAGAGACTTGACTTGGACTCTGGCTCAGAGACTTGAGACTTGACTTGGACTCTGGCTCAGAGACTTGACTTGGACTCTAGCTCAAAGACTTGAGACTTGACTTGGACTCTAGCTCAGAGACTTAAGACTTGACTTGGACTCTGGCTCAGAGACTTGACTTGGACTCTGGCTCAGAGACTTGACTTGGACTCTAGCTCAGAGACTTGAGACTTGACTTGGACACTGGCTCAGAGACTTAGGACTTGACTTGGACTCTGGCTCAGAGACTTGAGACTTGACTTGGAGTCTAGCTCAGAGACTTAAGACTTGACTTGGACTCTAGCTCAAAGACTTGAGACTTGACTTGGACTTTAGCTCAAAGACTTGAGACTTGACTTGGACTCTGGCTCAGAGACTTGACTTGGACTCTGGCTCAAAGACTTGACTTGGACTCTAGCTCAAAGACTTGACTTGGACTCTAGCTCAAAGACTTGAGACTTGACTTGGACTCTAGCTCAGAGACTTGACTTGGACTCTGGCTCAAAGACTTGACTTGGACTCTAGCTCAAAGACTTGAGACTTGACTTGGACTCTAGCTCAGAGACTTGACTTGGACTCTGGCTCAAAGACTTGACTTGGACTCTAGCTCAAAGACTTGACTTGGACTCTAGCTCAAAGACTTGAGACTTGACTTGGACTCTAGCTCAGAGACTTAAGACTTGACTTGGACTCTAGCTCAAAGACTTGACTTGGACTCTAGATCAAAGACTTGAGACTTGACTTGGACTCTAGCTCAGAGACTTAAGACTTGACTTGGACTCTAGATCAAAGACTTGAGACTTGACTTGGACTCTAGCTCAGAGACTTAAGACTTGACTTGGACTCTAGCTCAAAGACTTGAGACTTGGACTCTAGCTCAAAGACTTGAGACTTGACTTGGACTCTAGCTCAAAGACTTGACTTGGACTCTAGCTCAAAGACTTGACTTGGACTCTAGCTCAAAGACTTGACTTGGACTCTAGCTCAAAGACTTGACTTGGACTCTAGCTCAGAGACTTAAGACTTGACTTGGACTCTAGCTCAAAGACTTGACTTGGACTCTAGCTCAAAGACTTGAGACTTGACTTGGACTCTAGCTCAGAGACTTAAGACTTGACTTAGACTCTAGCTCAAAGACTTGACTTGGACTCTAGCTCAGAGACTTAAGACTTGACTTGGACTCTAGCTCAAAGACTTGACTTGGACTCTAGCTCAGAGACTTAAGACTTGACTTGGACTCTAGCTCAAAGACTTGAGACTTGACTTGGACTCTGGCTCAGAGACTTGAGACTTGACTTGGACTCTGGCTCAGAGACTTGACACGGACTCCAGCTCAGAGACTTGAGACTTGACGCAGACTCACTGTAGTTAATGGGATATTTGTTGCTGACTAATGACATTCATGGAAACAGGTCTTATACTAAATATATTTAAAACTGAAGCTTTCAAGTAAAAACAACATGAAGTCACTGAAATCACCAGCGCAGGTGTTACTGACATGAAACTGCAAACACATCAGCTGTTGTCTTAGTGGTTTGAGTCTGTCCTCAGCGTAGCGGTGTTTGACCCGGAGTGGTTCTGTGCTGGTATCTCTGCTGGTTCAGATCTGTCGTGGTCAGCTGACTCCTGAAGCTTGATATTCTGTGCGGTGGTTA